TACAGCTAGTGCATGCATTTATCCATCAGGTGCTAAAGGGGTGTAACCACATTAACTCTAGAAATTCAGTGTGCAGAGGGTCCTTCAGAATTTCTAGAGTTAATGTGGTTACACCCCTTTAGCACCTGATGGATAAATGCATGCACTAGCTGTATGGATTTGAGCACAGGGATCTCTTGTTTCTTGTTTGTTCTGATGGGAAACCTGACATTAGAGGGGATTCTGATGGAAATCCTGACATAAGAGGGGACTCTGATGGGAAACCTGACATAAGAGGGGGACTCTGATGGGAAACCTGACATAAGAGGGGACTCTGATGGGAATCTTGACATAAGAAAGTATTCTGATGGGAATCTTGACATAAGAGGGGACTCTGATGGGAAACCTGACATAAGAGGGGACTCTGATGGGAATCCTGACATAAGAAGGGACTCTCGCGGGAATCCTGACATAAGAGGGGACTCTGATAGTAATCTTGACATAAGAAGGGACTCTCATGGGAATCCTGACATAAGAGGGGACTCTCATGGGTACCCTGACATAAGAGGGGACTCTGATGGGTACCCTGACATAAGAGGGGACTCTGATGGGTATCCTGATTTGAGGGGGGAATCTGATGGTGCTTCTGATGTAAAGAGGACTCTAATGGGGACCTTGTCATAAGGTTTGCTTGTAATGGGAACTTTGATATAAGGAGGGATTCTGATGGGGACCCTGATGTGGACTCTGATGTAAAGGGGGACATTAAAGTAAGGAGTACACTACTGTAAGGTGTGGGGGACTCTGATGTAAAGTGGACACTGATAGTGACCTTGATATAAAGAGGGACTCTAATGGGTGCCCTGATGTAGGGGGGTTCTGATGGGGACTTTGATGTAAAGAGGACTATGATGGGGACCCTAATGAAAGGGGGAGGGTGATCCAATGGGACCCTGATGTAAAGAAAACTCTGATAGGGACCCAAATGTAACGGTGGACTCCAATGGAGATGCTGACACAAGGAAGGACTCTAATGGGTACCTTGATGTCAGGGGGGACTCCTATGTAAAGGGGACATTTTTGTATGTGGCTGCAAAGCATTAAGAGCGCTCACTTTGAAAAAAAAAAAAATTAAAAACAAAAAAGAGTGATTAAGGCCGCGCCGTAATGTACATCATGTGACACGCCTGAAATGCGGATTAACTCTGCGCTCCTAGAATCAACCAAGGTTTTGTTTTGTTTTTTAAATACTAATAAATCTGCCTGAAATCTTCACTTATATTCTCTGCCCGCAATATCCTCTGCTGGAGTGTGAGGTCATCCCTGGTGATGTAGTCACGTCATTGCACAATGCTGCCAACCTGACATGTTTCAGGCACTGGGGCGCTGGAAGGGTGGGATTTAGACTCAGGACCTTTACAGGAGGGCAATGCCTCTGCAAGGTGGTGCTACACCTTCACCACGATCCTCTGCTCAGCTGCGCTTCTTCCTCCGTCAAAAAGGCTCCTGGTCTTTCTCCTCCCACCATGGCCTGTCCCCCCCCCCCCCCCCCCCCCCCCCAACTCCTGTGGTCCCCAGAGTCATCTTGGCAACCACAGAAATCCATCCTCAGGTGCATTCTACAGAACACCCGCAGTGGTGTCATTTCCTGATCACGGGATAGGCTCCCATCATTTCATAGAAGTCTGCACAGAACTTGAAGTTATATTACAGACATCCCCTGCAAGTGTCACTTAACCACTTGCCAACCGCGCTATAGCCGAATGACGGCTGCAATGCGGTTGTCATCATATGACGTCCTCCCAGAATGCACCCTCCAACGCACCCCCGGCAATCTCCATGATCGCTGTGTCCATAGGACACAGCTGATCATGTGATGAGGTAAGAGGCCAATCACAGCGGCCTTTTAGCACGTGATCAGCGGTGTCCAATGACACAGCAGATCACCGGTAAATGCAGTTGCCGGTTATCGGCTGCACTTTCCTCACATTGTCACAGCGTGAAGAAAGTACTGCCGATAACTGGTAATTGTCAGAGGACGGATCGGCACCAATCATCAGTGCCCAGCAGTGCCACCCATCAGTGCCCAGCAATGCCTAGTAGTGCCACCCACCTGTGCTGCAAGTCAGTGCCACCCATCAGTGCCCATCATTGTTGCATATCAGTGCTGCCTATCTGTGCCACCTCATCAGTGCCACCCATCAGTGCTCAGCACCGCCTAGTAGTGCCACCCACCTGTGCCCAGCAGTGCCACCCATCATTGTTGCATATCAGTGCTGCCTATCCGTGCCACCCATCAGTGCCCAGCAACGCCTAGTAGTGCCACCCACCTGTGCCCAGCAGTGCTGCCAGTCAGTGCCACCCATCATTGTTGCATATCCGTGCCACCTCATCAGTGCCACCCATCAGTACCCAGCAACACCTAGTAGTGCCACCCACCTGTGCCCAGCAGTGCCACCCATGAGTGCCGCCCAGCAGTGCCCATCATTGCTGCATATCAGTGCTGCCCATCTGTGCCACCTATCAATGCTGCCTATCCGTGCCACCTCATCAGTGCCACCTATCAGTGTAGCCTCATCAACGCACATCAGTGAAGGAGAAAAATTACCTGTTTGCAAAATTTTACAATAGAAACAAAGAAAAACTTTTTTTTTTTTTTTTTGTTTAAAGTGCAAAAGATAAATCCCCCGGCGGTGAGTAAATACCACTAAAAGAAAGCTCTATTTGTGAGAAAAAATTATAAAAAAATGTCATTTGGGTACAGTGTTGCATGACCGCGCAATTGTCATTCAAAGTGTGATAGCGCTGAAAGCTGAACATTGGCCTGAGCAGGAAGGGGGTAGAAGTGCCCGGCAGGCGAGGGGTTAAAATATAACTAAAGGCAAAGGTTTTTGTAGTTTTCGATATGGTGGAGAGGGATTAGAACCCTGGTCTGTTTTTTTCACTGTCTGCACCCCCATTAGGGAGATTCCCTCTCTCTATTAGTCCTGATTACCATTACCACTGAAAGTAAAAGAAAATCCCAAATGTTGGGTTGTCCCCAGAAAAGTAAAAGGGGAAATCTTCCAATGGGGACACTAGTTCTGGTGACTTTGGGGGTCCCCAAGGAATTTCTTTAATTTGCAGGGATTTCCTCTCACTTCCTCTTTGGCTATGGGACAGGAAATGAAAGAAAGTCTCCCCAAAGGGAGACAAATGGAAAAAAAAATTGACAGGGATGCTGTCCCAAACGAAAAGCCTATAGTTCTACTTTAAAAGATTGCACAGAACTCGAAGTTATATTACAGACATTCCCTGCAAGTTTCACCTGTGTGTCTAAAAGTCTGCAGAGAGCTTGAGATTATATTACAGACATCCCTTGCACACTTCACTTTAGTATACCTTCTCACATGGACTTGGCATCGGCCTCCTGCAGTGCTTGTAAAGCAGAGCTCAGACTGGAAGAGGGAGAGGCAGCACAGGAATCCAATCAGTTGGTCTGCAGTGCACAGACAAGCTGATAGGGGGAGAAAGAGCAGAGAGGTGAGCTCTACAGTCTGCTGCTTCTCATTGCACTTTCCAATCTTAGGGTTGAGGGAGGCAAGACCTTTAAGTGTTACTGAACTGCAGCTGAGAGAAAAATAAAATCAGGGCTCCATCCCTTCTAGACAGGGCTGTGCTGAGTGGCAGAGCTGTGTAAATCTCAGGACTGGATGGACATAAATACAACTCCTTATATAAATTTCACCCGTGTACACTGCTGTTTGGCTGGAGCTCAGCTTAACCTCATAGGGCTGGGAGCACGGAAATGTGCGGCCTCCCAGCGTCTGGACTTTGACACAGAGCGGCCGCACATTTGCGTGCAATTAAGAAAAACATATGTGCTGAGAGAGCGCTCCCAGCACACATGTCCGGTACTCACGGAAAGGTCCCGATCTCCTCTTGCGATCGGGACCTTTCCCGATCATGTGACCGCCGTGACAGCGAATCAGGGCAGTCACATGACCCTAAGACCCCGCCCCGCCTCCTGAAACTCTTAAAGGGCGGGGAGGCGCCGGCGCCAAGTGGTTAAACCAAAACAAGCATATCCTTGAAAGAAAAAAAAAAAGAAGCTGAGGTTACCTTCAGAGAAAGCAGCACCTCAAAATGATCTCGGGATCCGGAGATAAAAGCAGCTAAAGTTAGAGTCGGATCTTGACTTTTCCTGTAAAAGTCACACTTGGCCCCGCCTCCTCCTCCATACTATGACTTTAGGATCAATGGGGACTTTCAAGAGGCAGAAAAAGTGCAGCCAATTCTCAACAGGTAAAGATTTTCATATAACTTTAGCTGCCTATGAAGCCACACCCCCTTGTTGGCATGTCATGGCAGCCAGTGGTAGGCCCTTATACTAGAAGCCATCATGGGGGGGCCCTTGGGCTCACCTGTATGGGTCATCAGGCTTGGGGGCGAGTTAGCTGGCCCTCCATTCAGATATATGGGGATCTGGCTCTATATACCAATTTATATCTGATTATAGGGTCAGCATAACAAAAATAAATTATTTTCTCCCCATTAGATTGTAAGCTCCCAGGATCAGGCCCTCCTATCCCTCTTGTATTGAACTGTATTGTCTCCAGTTATATTGTAAAGTGCTGAGCAAACTGTTATATATAAATCCTGTATAATAATAATAATTAGTTCAGTCAGTGAAATATTGCTGCTGAAGATAATTGTATTTCCTGTATTCAGCCAGTAGGTGGAGCTCTAGGCTGATTTTTCACATTGCAAGAGCAGAAGTTAAGATTACACACACAGCTGAGTGAATTAAAGGTTTGCTTAGGGATTTTTTTTTTTTTTTTTTTGCCCATCCTGTTATTTATTGTCCCAAGATAACCAAACTCTCACAAGGATTGAGAAAAGATAAATTAAGAGTTGACGTTGGTGGTGGTGATGGGGGGGGGGGGGGGGGGGGTTCCTTTAAGTCCAGAAACAGGAGAGGCGGAGCAGAGCCAATAAATATGGCGGCGGTAATGGGTGGGGCAAGTCTTTTGTGGTCCTCATCACTTCAGCAGCTTGAACTTCTTCAGGTAGCCGTGGACTTCCTCCTTGCGGTACGGCCTCAAGGCGATGCAGGTGGGGATGTTCTCCGGCTGCTCCATCCACACTTTGTGATCGATGTTCGCCTGCCTCAACGTCTCCGCCAATCCGCTGAGCGTCACCTCGTCCGGGACCTGAAACAACAACCGTCTGCCTTTACCTCTGACCTCCAGCCTCCCTTTAGGTCTTTTACAATTGTACCGGCTCCTCTCCTGGACTGAAACGGCTTACTCTGATGTCACTGCACACTGTGAGCTTCTCACAGAAGCTGCAGTAAACCCACTAGAGCTCCGCCTCATTTTCTGGCTGGAGAGCGTCCAGCATCATCTAGCTCTTTCCTCCCCAGCCTGACTGTCCCTGGCCCACCCCTTTCATTCATTGGATTTCAGTTCTTTCAGTCATGGGGGCGTTACCTAGGGTGGTCTGCATGCAAAGGAAATGCCCACTCCTCCAGAATGAGAATTCATTGTTATATTTGCATAACTCCTCCCACTGCTTGCATCAGCGCTGAGGGCTCTTGTGAGGAGGCAGGGGGCTGGCCCCTCCCACCAGCCATGATCTCCCAGCACTGCAAGGATTTCTATCACTGTCAGTATATATAGTGATCATTGTAGTTTTAGCAAGTAGTTTTATCACAGTTAGAAAATACAGTGATCACTGTCAGGAATTCTGCTGATCATGGTCAAAACGTATTGTAATCACTGTCAATAAACACAGTGATCACTGTCAGTAGGTATGTTAAACACTGTCAGTACATATAGTGATCACTGTCTGTAGGGATGTTGATCACTGCAGGTAGAAATGTTGATCACTGTCAGTAGGGGTGTTGATCACTGTCAGTAGGGGTGTTGATCACTGGAAGTATACATAGTGATCACTGTATGTGCAATAATTACTGTCAGTAGGTGTGTTGAACACTGTCAGTACATATAGTGAACACTGTCGGTATGTGTGTTGATCACTGGCAGTATATACAGTGATCATCACTCCGAGTATGTGCATTGCTTACTGTCAGTAAAAGTGTTGATCGTGGCCAGTACATATAGTGGTCACTGTCAGTAGGGGTGTTGATCACTGTAAGCACATATAGTGTTCACTGTATAAGCATTAATTACTGTCACTAGATGTGTTGATCACTGTCAGTAGGTATGGTAATCACTGTTAGTATGTGACTTGATTACTGTCACTAGATGTACTGATCACTGTCAGAAGGTGAGTTGATCACTCTCAGGATATATATATATATATATATATATATATATATATATAAAGATCGCTGTAGTGATTACTGTCAGTACATATAATGATCACTGTCAGTAGGGGTGTTGATCACTGTCAGTAGTATGGTGAGCACTGTCAGTACATATAGTGATCACTGTCAGTGTGGTGATCACTGTCAGTAGGTATGGTGATCACAGTCAGTGGGTATGGTGAGCACTGTCGGTACATATAGTGGTCACTGTCAGTGGGTGTGGTGATCACTGTCAGTAGGTATGGTGAGCACTGTCAGTAGAGGTGTTGATCACTGTCAGTAGGTATGGTGATCACTGACAGTAGGGGTGTTGATCACTATCAGTGGATGTGGTGATCATTGTCTGCGGATGTGGTGACCACTGTCAGCAGGGGTGTTGATCACTGTCAGTAGGTATGGTGATCACTGACAGTAGGGGTGTTGATCACTGTCAGTGGATGTAGTGATCACTGTCAATAGATATGGTGATCACTGTCAGTGTGGTCCCCTCACCTCCAGCACCACCTTGTGCATGGTGTCCAGCTCGTGCAGGTACTCCCGGGTCTGGGGGTGATCATAGTGCAGGTGGATGGCGGCGGTGGCAGCATGACAGGCCTGAGTCACCAGGGCCCCCAGGGGCCACCCGAGTCCGGCCTGCAGATCCTTCCGGAGCACCACGTACTGCACCAGCCCAGCCATACCCGGCTGCTCACTTCCCTGTCCGCTCTGCCCGTGTCAATAAAGCTCATTCATACAACACACGTGTCTTCGCCTCTGTATATTCTAGCCACGCCTGTGGACATAGGATGACATTCGGGGATTGGATAGTTCTGGAAACTCGGCACCAATCACTGCCATAGGACTTTCTTACTGTACATAGCCCCCGCCTTCATCCTTCCCATTACTTCTATTGGCTGCCTCATCTACCTAACAACCAATCACAGCCAACCCCAGATAAACTTTATTGACAGAATTACATAGACTCAGACGTAGTGTACAGATGAACACTAGAGAACGGAGAGTCTTTGAACAAAGTGTCTCCACCCGGAGCCCGTATAAAGCGGGAAATGTGATAAAGAAAGTCTCACGGAAAATGGCCGCCAGCCTAATGTAATGTGAATGGAGCCGAGTTGGGGACAGGGGCTCTGCCTATAGAACAGAGTGTCACGACTTGTTTGTTGTTATTGGACGTTCCTTGGCGGCAGATTCCAATCCAGGTAAGAAGATGGTGAGGCACCACTAGTACCAGAGCGGCTGACCAGACAGAGAGAGGCTACCAGTGTCATGGCCTCTCCTAGCTGGGGAGCTACACCACCTCCTCCATTGGTCTGTCATAGCAGCCAGTGCTGGGGCTCTTATATTAGAGCCCAAAAAGGGGCCCCTGGCTGATGAGGTAGTAGGTGGTCCTCTATACCGGGTCAGATATCTGTGGCCCAGGCTCCATAAAGGCTCTTTATACTTTATTAATGGTCTGGATTACAAATAAAACAGATTTGTTGTTCAGGTTTGAGTCCTGTGTGAACTATGACCCCGAACCATACCTGTAGTTACTATATCCAGCCAGCAGGTGGAGCTCTGGACTACCTTCCACATTACAGATCTGAAGCTCAGATTACAAGCACAGCTGAATGAATTAAAGGAGCAGCTCTCCGCAAAACCAGCATCAAGGGTTCACCTTGTATCGGTGACACAACAGGAAGTGAAGGGGATTGTCCCAGAGGAGACACAAACCGCAGTAAGGAGATTCTGACCCCCCCCCCCCCCCCCCCCCCCAGTCACTCCAGCTCCATAGAAAACTGATTTCTGGTATTTTTAGATTATTGTAAGGCTTGGCTGCAGACGAGTGATTCTTGTACCCTTGTTCTGTCTGTCAGGTAACTCCTCCACCCGGCCACGGACCTCTGGACGTGTCACAGGACAGGGGGCGTCATGGAGGAAGTCCAGACTCTCTTCCGGGAAGGTAAGATGGAAAATTCCATATTATCTGCACTCTACACTCCTGCCATCTACAAATTAGTCATTACCCATGTTTAAAGGGTTCTGAGCTCCGCCCCTTCATAGAGGGGAGCGGTAAAACACAGGGTCATGTGACAAGAAGCTGTAGTACTTCCGAGTTTGCAGCTGCCCCTTTCTTTATATCTAAGCTGCATGGGTATGCTTTTTTATTAATTCTTGCAGTATCAATGCCAATTTCCAAAGGCTGTTCCCTGTTAGACAGGGGGGTGGGGGGGGGGGGTGTTTCTGGAGTTTCCCAGAGCAGTCCAAAGAGTATATAAATGAAAGGGCGAGCGTGCCACAAATCAAAGATCAGTCCATCAGAAGTTTTGTTATTCACAATGAGCCGTCAGAGGGGCTTCATCAAGGCTTGTTTGCTGGAAGTACAGGCAGCCTGGTGATTACTTTGTTTTCTACAATCACCCGTCCAGTATTATCACTCATTGCTAGGATGCAAGTCCTGATGAAGGGGGATTTGTGAGCCCCTGAAATGCATTGGATTTACCACCTGACCTCTCAATGCAAATAAGAAACTTTCACTGGACTTATCTTTGGTTTGTGATGCTCTCATCCCCTTGTGTATACAAGTTCATAGGAATACAAAATCAGCTTGATGCAGGTCTGGAGGAGGACAGCTGCAGGTCGAGAGAAGATCTACTGTAGGTCTGGAGGAGGACAAGTGCAGGTCGAGAGAATATCTACTGTAGGTCTGGAGGAGGACAAGTGCAGGTCAGGCGGAGATCTACTGTAGGTCAGGAGAAGATCTACTTTAGGTCTGAAGGAGGACAACTGCAGGTCGGGAGAAGATCTACTGCAGGTCTGGAGGAGGACAAGTACAGGTCGGGCGGAGATCTACTGTACGTGTGGAGGAGGACAACTGCAGGTCAGGAGCAAATCTACTTTAGGCCTGAAGGAGGACAACTGCAGGTCGGGAGAAGATCTACTGCAGGTCTGGAGGAGCACAAGTACAGGTCGGGAGGAGATCTACTGTAGGTCTGGAGGAGGACAAGTGCAGGTCGGGTAGAGATCTACTGTACGTGTGGAGGCCTTAAGGACGACAACTGCAGGTCGGGAGGAGATCTACTGTAGGTCTGGAGGAGGACAAGTGCAGGTCGGGTGGAGATCTACTGTACGTGTGGAGGCCTTAAGGAGGACAACTGCAGGTCGGGAGGAGATCTACTGTAGGTCTGGAGGAGGACAACTGCAGGTCAGGAGAAGATCTACTTTAGGTCTGCAGCAGGACAACTGCAGTTTGGGAGGATATCCAAGGTAGGTTTAGAGGAGGACAACTGCAGGTCGGGAGGAGATCTACTATAGGTCTGGAGGAGGACAAGTGCAGGTCAGGAGGAGATCTACTTTAGGTCTGCAGCAGGACAACTGCAGGTCGGGAGGAGATCTACTGTAGGTCTGGAATAGGACAACTGCAGGTTGGGAGGATATCCAAGGTAGGTTTAGAGGAGGACAACTGCAGGTTGGGAGGAAATCTACTGTAGGTCTGGAGGAAGACAACTGCAGGTTGATCTACTGTAGGTCTAGAGGAGGACAGCTGCAGGTTAGGAGATCTACTGTACATCTGGAGGAGGACAACTGCAGGTCTGGAGGAGATCTACTGCAGGTTGGGAGGAGATCTACTGTTGGTCAAGCGAAGGACAACTGCAGGTCGGGAGGAGGACAACTCTACGTCAGGAGGGGGTCTGGAGGTAGACAATTGTAGAACAAAAGGAAGTCAACTGCAGATCATGAGAGAATCTACTGTAGGTCTTGAAGAGGAAAACTGCAGGTCAGGAGAGGGTCTAATGTAGGTCTGGAGGAGGACAATTGTTGGACAAGAAAAGGTTAGCTGCAGTTTAGGAGGAGGTCCGCTGAAGGTCAGGACGACAATATTTGTAGGTCAGGAAGAGGTTAACTACAGATCCCATGCATTTATTTTCTGAATCAGCTTGAATTGATAACATCAACACAAGCGTCCACTAATGTCCTTGTTGTGTTACCTGGAAAGCATTCATCTTCATTCTGCTCTGTAATGTTGGGGCGGGAAGGTGTGATGTCCCATCTGGACCGGCTGGAGGCCCTGTCCCAGAACCTGGCTCAGAAACAAGATGAAAAGAGACAGCAAGAGACAGACCTGCAGGAGAAGAGAGACCTAATTGTGAGGCTGCAGAAGGAGCGGGAGGAACTCCGGATCCAAATCCAGCTGCAGAAGGAGACGGTGAGTGGCCTTCGTGTTACTCTCATTAATATTCCCTCTGTATGTTAAACGTCTTACAAGCTGTGGAACTGATAATGTGAACGCTCAGATTATAGTGTGTCTAAACCCATTCGAACCATATGAGAACCTTTCAAGAACGGAAATCTCTCAATGGAGAAGTTCTGATTTTACCTCATTATATACAAAAAATGTTTTGATATGATGATTTATATATTTTATATGACTTTATAGACTAATAGGGAGACGTGTCCCTTTATCAGATTCAGGCATTATCAGCAAGAAAAGAGAGGAGTGAGCCTCAAGTACAGAGCACACAGGGCGCCTTGCAAGATCTGAGGCTGGAGGAGATGAAGAGCATCATGGAGGCACTCTGGTTCACAGGTACAGCCCCTGATCCTTTACTGACTGTAGACATCATGGTGAGCTCTGGTTCACAGGTACAGCCCCTATCTCTTTTATTGAAAGTTGCCATCATGGAGGAGCTCTTGTTCACAGTTACATCCTTTCTTCTCTTACCGAATGTAGACAACATGGAGGAGCTCTGCTCCAAAGGTACAGCCCCTATCTCTTTACTGAATGTATATATTATGGAGACACTCTGCTCCAAAGGTACAGCCCCTATCTCTTTACTGAATGTATATATCGTGGAGACACTCTGGTTGACAGGTACAGCCCCTATCCCTCTACTGCATGTAGACATCATGGAGGCAATCTGGTTGACAGGTACAGCCCCTATCCCTCTACTGCATGTAGACATCATGGAGGCACTCTGATTTTCATGTACGGCACTTCTGCTGTCACTGGATGTATGCATAATGGAAGAGCTGATTTACAGGCACAGCCCTTCTCCCTTTACTGAATGCAGATATCATAGAGCAATAGGGCATGATAGGTTTGCATACGCTTTATGGTTTCCTATTAAGTACTACTTGATCCATATGACCATTAATGAGACCCTAACAATAAGTGGCCATTAAACCCATCATTTTACTAACTTTAAAACACTTTTTTTTTCTTTTTTTTTTTGTCTCTCTTTTATCTTGTGGTCACGTGACATAGCCCATGCACTTCCGCACCTCACTGTCTGATCGTGTAGATTAGTTTAAGCATTTGCTGAAACTTGGGAGTGCAAGTGTTATATAAAACACATTTCCTGTTCCCGTTTCAACATGCATGCTCCTCCTTGCTGGCCACTGAGCAATGCAGACTTCAGGTGTGCAATCTGCTGATCAGTTGCTTGATTACGCTCTATCAGACCTGCTTCTGGAACAGATTGCACAGCAGCAGGGAAGAACATGCACATCTAAAGGGATGCTGAGATGTGTTCTTTCATAGAACCCATAGGGCTCAGAGCAGAGCATGCTAGAGACAACGGCAACACTAAAGTTTGGGGATCAACCGGAACAGTGTTGCCACTCTGAATAAGGAAATAGTAAATCCCTGGCTGATCCTATCATTCTATCTAAGTATATGTTAGTAAAAGTTGAGCACACCGTAAGAGCAATTATGGATTTTATTTTCTCACATCAGGGATAAGTGGGAAGCTGAAGGACGACGCAGCGTGTTTCTGCATCTCCACAGCCTTTGAGGGCACTTACCTGGACTCTTACTACATCCAGGTGAATAATGTAAAGAACCCACAGATTGTCCGTCACTCGATCCCCGCCTTCATCCCGCTGCACGACCTTGCCAAGGAGCACCTGCCGGCTGCCCTGAAGAAGCTCCTTCATGTTTTGTTTGAGCGACTGAATGGCTATGCGGGGCGAAAGTTCCAGGCCGATCGGGCAGAGGTAATAATACGATGAGCGCCGACCATGGATGGGTGCAGATATCGGCTGGTTGTCTTGCCCCTGATTGGCTGGCGTCCTGCTGGTGATATAATTGTCTGGATTTGTCTCCATACAGAAAATATCTCCTGTGTATGTGGAGGGGTCTCTGCAGAAGAATTCCCTGTATACTGTTCTCTCCTTCACTTACAACGTAACCGTAGAGGGTCAGATTGTCGGCTTTGCTGCTAAATTGCTCTACGCAGACCTCGCTGACACCCTTCCCACAGAGGTGATGGTCACATGTTCAGGTAACTGCAGTCTGATTGGTCTTTGTGTTTTCTGTTGCTGTTTTTCTCCGCATGGCAGCTTTAAAGAGAACCGGTATGTGGATTGAACCTGGATGGTAGGGTATTACAGGGAACCCTGAAGCTCCTTCAAGTCCTTACCCAGGGCTGAGGACCCCCCATCGCGTCATGTGGCTGAGCACTGCATTGTGGGGGAGGGGGGGGGGAATAACTAATATCTTATTTATAAATGACAAATTACATCATTTTATATTGGTTGTGGTCAGACAAGAGCAGTTATAACAACATGCAGGACAATTGTGACAATTTAGACCCAGAAATTTCTACCCCCCCCCCCCCCCCCCCAAGCAAAAATCCTTACCTTGTCCCCACCTAGACTCAACTCCCCCCTCCACCCTGCCAGCAAAAAAATCCTCTCCCTGAGATTAACTCCCCCAGCAGAAATACATTCCCCCCCCACCAGCACAAATCCCCTACCTGAGATGTCCTCCCACCTCAACAGCAATCCTCCTTTCCCCAACAAACTCCCCCCTGAGATCTCCTCCCACCTCAACAGCAATCCTCCTTTCCCCAACAAACTCCCCCCTGAGATCTCTGCCCACCTCAACAGCAATCCTCCTTTCCCCAACAAACTCCCCCCTGAGATCTCTGCCCACCTCAACAGCAATCCTCCTTTCCCCAACAAACTCCCCCCTGAGATCTCTGCCCACCTCAACAGCAATCCTCCTTTCCCCAACAAACTCCCCCCTGAGATCTCCTCCCACCTCAACAGCAATTCTCCTTTCCCCAACAAACTCCCCCCTGAGATCTCCTCCCACCTCAACAGCAATCCTCCTTTCCCAACAAACCCCCCTGAGATCTCCTCCCACCTCAACAGCAATCCTCCTTTCCCCAACAAACTCCTCCCTGTGATCTCCTCCCACCTCAACAGCAATCCTCCTTTCCCCAACAAACTCCCCCCTGAGATCTCCTCTCACCTCAACAGCAATCCTCCTTTCCCCAACAAACTCCTCCCTGAGATCTCCTCCCACCTCAACAGCAATTCTTCTTTCCCCAACAAACTCCCCCCTGAGATCTCCTCCCACCTCAACAGCAATCCTCCTTTGCCCAACAAACTCCCCCCTGAGATCTCCTCCCACCTCAACAGCAATCCTCCTTTCCCCAACAAACCCCCCTGAGATCTCCTCCCACCTCAACGGCAATCCTCCTTTCCCCAACAAACTCCTCCCTGTGATCTCCCACCTCAACGGCAATCCTCCTTTCCCCAACAAACTCCCCCCTGAGATCTCCTCCCACCTCAACAGCAATCCTCCCTTTCCCCAACTAACTCCCCCCTGAGATCTCCTCCCACCTCAACAGCAATCCACCTTTCCCCAACAAACCCCCCTGAGATCCCACATCAACAGCAATCATCCTTTCCCCAACAAACACCCCCCTGAGATCTCCCACATCAACAGCAATCCTCCTTTCCCCAACAAACTCCCCCCTGAGATCTCCTCCCACCTCAACAGCAATCCTCCTTTCCCCAACAAACTCCCCACTGAGATCTCCTCCCACCTCAACAGCAATCCACCTTTCCCCAACAAACCCCCCTGAGATCTCCCACATCAACAGCAATCATCCTTTCCCCAACAAACTCCCCCCTGAGATCTCCCACATCAACAGCAATCCTCCTTTCCCCAACAAACTCCCCCCTGAGATCTCCTCCCACCTCAACAGCAATCCTCCTTTCCCCAACAAACTCCCCCCTGAGATCTACCACCTCAACAGCAATTCTTCTTTCCCCAACAAACTCCCCCCTGAGATCTCCTCCCACCTCAACAGCAATCCTCCTTTGCCCAACAAACTCCCCCCTGAGATCTCCTCCCACCTCAACAGCAATCCTCCTTTCCCCAACAAACCCCCCTGAGATCTCCTCCCACCTCAACGGCAATCCTCCTTTCCCCAACAAACTCCTCCCTGTGATCTCCCACCTCAACGGCAATCCTCCTTTCCCCAACAAACTCCCCCCTGAGATCTCCTCCCACCTCAACAGCAATCCTCCTTTCCCCAACTAACTCCCCCCTGAGATCTCCTCCCACCTCAACAGCAATCCACCTTTCCCCAACAAACCCCCCTGAGATCTCCCACATCAACAGCAATCATCCTTTCCCCAACAAACACACCCCCCCTGAGATCTCCCACATCAACAGCAATCCTCCTTTCCCCAACAAACTCCCCCCTGAGATCTCCTCCCACCTCAACAGCAATCCTCCTTTCCCCAACAAACTCCCCACTGAGATCTCCTCCCACCTCAACAGCAATCCACCTTTCCCCAACAAAAACCCCCCTGAGATCTCCCACATCAACAGCAATCATCCTTTCCCCAACAAACTCCCCCCTGAGATCTCCCACATCAACAGCAATCCTCCTTTCCCCAACAAACTCCCCCCTGAGATCTCCTCCCACCTCAACAGCAATCCTCCTTTCCCCAACAAACTCCCCCCTGAGATCTACCACCTCAACAGCAATTCTTCTTTCCCCAACAAACTCCCCCCTGAGATCTCCTCCCACCTCAACAGCAATCCTCCTTTGCCCAACAAACTCCCCCCTGAGATCTCCTCCCACCTCAACAGCAATCCTCCTTTCCCCAACAAACCCCCCTGAGATCTCCTCCCACCTCAACGGCAATCCTCCTTTCCCCAACAAACTCCTCCCTGTGATCTCCCACCTCAACGGCAATCCTCCTTTCCCCAACAAACTCCCCCCTGAGATCTCCTCCCACCTCAACAGCAATCCTCCTTTCCCCAACTAACTCCCCCCTGAGATCTCCTCCCACCTCAACAGCAATCCACCTTTCCCCAACAAACCCCCCTGAGATCTCCCACATCAACAGCAATCATCCTTTCCCCAACAAACACCCCCCTGAGATCTCCCACATCAACAGCAATCCTCCTTTCCCCAACAAACTCCCCCCTGAGATCTCCTCCCACATCAACAGCAATCCTCCTTTCCCCAACAAACTCCCCCCTGAGATCTACCACCTCAACAGCAATTCTTCTTTCCCCAACAAACTCACCCCTGTGATCTCCTCCCACCTCAACAGCAATCCTCCTTTCCCCAACAAACTCCCCACTGAGATCTCCTCTCACCTCAGCAGTAATCCTCCTTTTCCCAACAAACTCCCCCTTAGGGCTTGTTCACACTAGCGTTGGTCTCTGAAGAGCGATCTGTATTCAGATAGCTCTTCAGAGAGCATTTGACAGGTGGTGAGGAGGCATTGTATCGCTTCCCAACTGCCTGCTTTAACCCCTTGAACCCTGCACTAGCATGGCACAACCTTGGAGGTCCCTTGCAGTTGCAGGACTCTTGCAGAGTGGCCCCATTCATTTGAATCCTATTCTCATCGTGGTCACGGCATGTGTACACCCCTGGCTGCTACCTCGGCAGGTAAACGGGGTAGCGTTTGAGGGGGTGTTAAAAGCACAGTTCAGCTGCGGCGGTGATGGTGTCATCAAGGAGAGCTGTCCTCGGCTCTGTGCTACGTCTGTATCTGAGGTCTGACAGGCCTGCCAAGGGGCTACTGCAGAGCTGTGGTCAATGTGGCCCTAAAGCGCCTCTAACATGGCTGGACCCCCCCCCCCCCCCACCCAGGTATACCACTGCATGTGTATCCTACACCTAAAAATCTGATTTGAGATAGGGGACCAAACATAACAAGCAGGGACTGTTCAATAATGACCGCCATTATTATTGACTTAATGTAGAGCAGAGGGCTTTGTGAAGGCGGAACCCCTTATCTGACCACATAAAAAGTGATGGGTGGGGGGAGCTGCCATGGCTTATGCCTACTGAATCAATAAATAGCACCCCCCCCCCCAACAGCTCATCTCTCATCGTCTCAGATAAGGGTCAGATTTCATGCAGCCCTCACCTATGTGTGCAAAGCTGAGGGCTGCAAGACTTGACCCCCTTCATTTCAGCACAGGCTCAGATCAGTTGTCCATGACTAGTTTTGTAAGGTGCGAGATCTGCAGTCAACTGATTTGGTTTTCATTGCTCACAACCCTGGTGCCCAACCTGAGGACCACATGGGACTTGTTGATAGTTGTTGTGTGGCCCCCACACCCCCGGCAGTATGTAGTGGGATACAGCGGCTGTAATGGCAAGTATCTCCAGTAGTCCCTTGAAGCATTTTCAAAGTCTCTCACTGTCTCCACTAACACTCCACAGTCTATGGCAGCCTTCCATTTCGCTACGTTCACTGAATATTATGTGGGGGCCCGTAGTGATGTCAGGAGCCACAGCTGAGGCCTCTTATACCGTGTAAGCTGGTGACCACCGGCTTAAAGGTTCTGCTGCTTCCTCCTTTCAGGCTTTTGTTAGCCCAGCCTCAGCTCCATCTGAGCTTTTGCAAATGCCCAGTGCTTCTGGGTATGGGGGAGGAGCAGGTGACCGCCTGCTGTCATGCAGTGGCTGAGCCTAAGCGGCCAATCGCCAAGCCCCAAACACTGTCATGTGTTGGTGGGTGGGCTAGAGATTTATTTAGGGAACAGTGTTTCTTTATTGTTTCACCAACTTAGAATAAGTACGAGGGTGAGAGGAGTCTGACTTCACTGGATGCATGGTTGCTCTGGGCAAGGATGAGAATTACAGCTCGGAGCATGACACAAGTCAGCAGTGACCTTTCATTTATGTATCTCATGGCAGGTCACCTTTTATACTCTCATATTCTTAGCTGGAAACATCTTATTCTTAGCTCAGGAGGTCTCATGCTACCCTTGGCACTTTTTGTGCAGCGCTCAGGGCTTCTGAAGATATTATTATGAGTCTCCTGTACCATGTCTGTAGTATCTGACCGTCCCCTGTATCATGTCTGCAGTCTCTGACCATCTCCTGTATCATGTCTGCAGTCTCTGACCGTCGCCTGTATCATGTCTGCAGTCTCTGACCGTCGCCTGTATCATGTCTGCAGTATCTGACCATCTCCTGTATCATGTCTGCAGTCTCTGACCGTCCCCTGTACCATGTCTGCAGTCTCTGACCGTCGCCTGTATCATGTCTGCAGTCTCTGACCGTCGCCTGTATCATGTCTGCAGTATCTGACCGTCTCCTGTATCATGTCTGCAGTCTCTGACCGTCCCCTGTATCATGTTTGCAGTTTCTGACCATCTCTTGTATCATGTCTGGAGTCTCTGACCGTCCCATGTATCATGTCTGGAGTCTCTGACCGTCTTCTGTACCACATCTGCAGTCTCTGACCGTCTCCTGTACCACGTCTGCAGTCTCTGACCGTCTCCTGTACCACGTCTGCAGTCTCTGACCGTCTCCTGTACCACGTCTGCAGTCTCTGAGCGTCTCCTGTACCACGTCTGTAGTCTGACCGTCTTCTGTACCACGTCTGCAGTCTCTGACCGTCTCCTGTACCACGTCTGTAGTCTCTGACTGTCTCCTGTACCACGTCTGCAGTCTCTGACCGTCTCCTGTATCATGTCTGCAGTTTCTGACCTTCTTCTGTAACATGTCTGCAGTCTTTGACCGTCTCCTGTATCAGATCTTCAGTCTCTGACCGTCTCCTGTACCACGTCTGCAGTCTCTAGCCATCTCCTGTACCACGTCTGCAGTCTCTAGCCGTCTCCTGTACCACGTCTGCAGTCTCTAGCTGTCTCCTGTACCACGGCTGCAGTCTCTGACCGTCTCATGTATCATGGCTGCAGTCTCTAGCTGTCTCCTGTATCATGGCTGCAGTCTCTAGCTGTCTCCTGTACCACGGCTGCAGTCTCTGACAGTCTCCTCTACCACGGCTGCAGTCTCCTCTACCACGGCTGCAGTCTCCTCTACCACGGCTGCAGTCTCTGACAGTCTCCTCTACCACGGCTGCAGTCTCTGACAGTCTCCTCTACCACGGCTGCAGTCTCTGACAGTCTCCTCTACCACGGCTGCAGTCTCTGACAGTCTCCTCTACCACGGCTGCAGTCTCTGACCGTCTCCTCTACCACCGGCTGCAGTCTCTGAGCTTCTCCTGTATCAGGTCTGCATTCTCTGATCGTCTCCTGTACCAAGTCCACAGTCTCTGACCATCTCCTGTATCAGGCTATTAGTCTTTGCCTATATTCTGCTGTGTTTCTGCTGGCTCTGACTGAATATTAACATTTTTATGTGTACTCCTTTGGTGATGTTGATGCCTCCCAACTCAAGAAATCTGACCACCTCTGGGCTTACGCCTCCATTTTTCACTGGATCCAACAACTCCCTTTCTATATTTGTAATATTTTCCTCTCTGTGATGTTACTGAAGTCTCTCTCTCCTAATATTTCAGATGACGAGGCCTCAGCTCAGGAGATGATCTCATCCCACGTGTCGCTCTTCTCCAGCACAGCCCTGCACAGAGCCCTGGACTCCCTCGCTACATAGAGACACGCTGTTCTGTCATATCCTTCAATGAACACGCTCTGCTGCCCCAGTATAGTCAGGACTGCCACGGTTCACATCTGAGGGACTTTATGAAGTGTTTATTGTCCTTCTCTCTACAGGGACTTCATTGGAATACAATCATAACTCAATGACACTTCATGTAATAAGGACTAACAGGAGAGTGTCAGCAGGCGCCCTCTTGTGGCTGAAATGTAGATGGCTGATTTTCACTCAGTGGTGTCATTTACTAAAACTGGAGAGTGGAAAATCTGGTGCAGCTCTGCATAGAAACCAATCAGCTTCTGGATTTTAATGTCAAAGCTTAATTGAACAAGCTGAAGTTAGAAGCTGATTGGCGACCATGAACAGCTGTGCCAGAATTTACACTCTCCTGTTATAGTAAATCTTCCCCCATTGTATGAAGCGAAACAATACATTGTGCTCTCATACACATTTCTGATGGTGTATGTATCCATCTGTTTCTATTTATTTAACCAATTCAATCCCGGGCAATTTTACACCTTCCTGCCCAGGCCAGTTTTCAGGTTTCAGCGCTCTCACACTTTGAATGACAATTGCGCGGTCATACAACATTGTACCCAAACTAAAATTTTATCATTTTCTTCACACAACTAGAGCTTTCTTTTGGTGGTATTCAATCACCGCCGGGGTTTTTATTTTTTGCTAAATTAACAAAATTTAAAAAAAGACCAAAAATTTTGAAGTTTTTCTTTGTTTCTGTTATAAAAGTTTGCAAATAAATAATTGTTCTTCATAAATTTAGGCCGAGATGTATTCTGCTACATGTCTTTGGTGAAAATAACCCAAATTAGGATGTATTATTTAGTTTGTAGGAAAGTTATAGAGTTCACAAACTGGTATAGATCTGAATATTGATCAATCCTGAAGTACTGACGGCCAATCTAATTTCTTGAGGTCCAAGAATGTCAGAACAGTACAGATATCCCCCAAATGTCAGAACAGTACAGATATCCCCCAAATGACCCCTTTTTGCAGAGTAGACAGTCCGACGTACTTCATAGGAGGAATGGCAAGTTTTTTGAAGTTGTATTTTTTTTTGTCATCATTTTTCGGAAAATTAAAAAAATTAGTTTCACTATTTTTTTTTTTTTTTTTTTTACATATTGTTACCAGTGCAGTACAGCGTCATCATATAACTGGCATGGCGGTGATCAGGGACACTGACTGGTGACCGTATGAAAAAAAAAAATTATATATTTTTTTTTATTTTTTATTACTTTTTTTTCTTTTTTTTAAGATTTTTTTTTTTCATATTTCACTATGACCAAAGTAGTACAATGTTACCATAGTAACATTGTACTACTTTGGGGAAGTGATCAGTATTTTTTTTTTTACACAATTTGCTTATAGCAAAGAATTACTTTGCTATAAGCAAGCATTTACCTGAATGACATCGATTCATTCAGGGTTTTTTTTTTTGTGCTTAGCTGTGATTTGGTCACAGCTAATCACATGACATGTGCATGTGATTAGCTGTAACCATTCACTGCTAGGCAGTAGTATACAATGGATGGCATGAATGAAGCCATCCATTGTATACAACTGTCATGTGACCTGCTGTGATTGGTCACAGCAGGTCACATGGTACCAGCAACAGGGCCGATACTCAGATCTGTCATCGGCCGTGTCCGAGGTACACGGCCGGTCACAGATTGCGCCGCTCTGCAGGAGCGCAATCTGCGCATGTGCGAGAGGACGCTATATGGCGTCCACCCGGAATGCTGATGACTGTTGCCGCCCGCCATTCGGCCATAGGGCGGGTGGCAAATGGTTAAAAAAAAAACAAACGAAAAAAAAAAAAACCCGAGCAATATGTTTCAAAGGTTTAGTGCACCTGTACAGAAAAAATGTAAAGTTGGACTAACACCATGCGGCCACCCCATCCCCCCGGTCCCTGTTGTATTTACCTCCGTGGGTGCTGAACTGTCAGTGCCCACACAGCCGGTGTTTGAAATCCCTGCTCTTCTCTGTCCTGTGCTTCTGGGATGGATCAGAGTGATTCTGATCGGCCAGCGCCAGCACAGAGCATTGTTCTGATCCATTCTGGAAGCACTGCAGAGAAGAGGTAGAAGAGTGGGGATTGTTAATCCTCAAGCTACAAAACCAGCACTGACAACTCATCACTGATGGAGGTGGGTACTGGGGGGTGTAGGGTGTTCAGTATTTCATTCTGTACGAATGAAATGACACCCTTTAAATCGGGGGCATTCCAGCTGTTGTAGAACTACAACTTCCATGAAGCCTTGAAAGGCTGACAGCCACAGGCATGATTCTCAGAAGCAGAGACACAATGGGATTTGCAGTTTCACCACAGCTGGATTGCGGAGGTTGCCTATCCCTGATTTAAAGTATATTTAACCCCTTCCAGTCCGGACACTTTCACCTCCTTCCTGCCCAGGCTAATTTTCAGCTTTCAGTGCTATCACACTTTGAATGACAATTGCGCGGTCATGCAACACTGTACCCATATGAATTTTTTAGCATCTTTTTGAGACAGATAAAGCTTTATTTTGGTGGTATTTATTCACCACTGGGATTTTTTTTTTTTTTTTTTGCTATGTAAATGAAAATGTCCAAAAATTTTGAAAAAAAAGTGTTTTTCTTATAAAATTTTGCAAATAAATAGTATTTCACCATAAATCTTCGCAAAAATGTTTTTTTTTATCTTTTTAGTAAAAAAAAAAACCCCAAATTAGTTTTTATAACCAAAAATTATAATTTTTAAACCTTTTTTTTAATTTGTTTTATATTATTTGTTTTTTTTTTTTACATACGGTCACCCTAGCAGTACAGTGTCACCATGTTGACACTGTGCTACTTGTGGGGGGGTGATGATTTTTTTTTTTTTTTTTACACTAATTGCTTTTACACCCATAAAGGCTGTAAAAGCAATCATTTCTCCTTCTCTCTAGCTGCATTCTTGCAGGCATTGAGAACTACTGTGTGAGCTGTGATTGGTCACAGCTTGTCACATGGTACAAGGCTGTTGTGAATAGCCTTGTACCATGTGACCATTCAGATTTCACACGTAGTAAGCAATGATGTCACAAGTGACATCTTGTTTACTGCTCTGCATGTGATCACTGATTGGCCAATCAGTGATCACATGATCCGGACCTTGCACAGAGGACACAGTGGGCACCGGATCACGGTTCTGCGCGCTCCTAGGGAGCGCGCACAAGCAGGGTGCGGGGAGGCTGTTTATAAACGGCCACCCGCACCCTGCACTGCTACCGTCTGGCCGTTTATATACAACGGCCGGCCGGGAGGTGGTTAAACCCCAAACCAAATGTGTAACATTGCAGCTAGTCCTCGGTATGGCGGCTGCATTCGTTTTCTTTTTTCCCATGCTTCTTTTGCTTTTATTTTCACCCAATGATCCTGCAAACAGCATTGTTTTTGTTCCAGGGTGGCTATGTTACTCCTCCACTGTATCTATGGAAGGTTCCATGGTTGTTACCCCAGGCTGCAGACATGTCTCTTCATCTCCATTACATGGGGGGGGAGGGCAGTTGGTAGATTAAAGAATATAGGAGGAAGATATTTTTCAGTGCAGCTGACAAGGACATGGCAATTCTGACAGGATCAAACAGTATTTTCTGTATTTGCTAAAAACTGTCTGACTTGGAGAAAAAAGGGAAACGAATGCCACCTCTGCTCACATGGCTGCTTTGCTTCTGGGCTCTTCACTGCTTGGGCACGACCAAGCTGCACCAGGTCACGATGATGCAGGTACTCTTCCTGGTGTGCCCTTCAGGCAGACAGGTGTTCCTGGAGGAGCTGCTGTCATTCAATGCACCTATCTGCCCTATTAGGTGATGCTGCATGTGACATAGGCAGCTGGGAGGTTTATGAGGTAGACAATATCATTGAATGACAGCACTTCCTCTGATGAGCCTGGCTGTCATTGTTGGCGGGGCAGATTGGCTCCTTTTGAGAGCCTGGCTGTCATTGATGGCAGGGTAGACTGTGAGTGCTTACTACAGGATGGCATAGGACATGCTGCATCATAGCCCCACCCACTGACTGCGCATTGCAGAGCCCAGAATGAGAAAGGTGGGCACCTGACCTATGGGGTAGAGTAAGTCATAGGCTTTGTGTTTCACATTAGACTGAGCTCACTTGATGCTGTGGCAATATTGCAAAGGTGAGGGAGTCGTTGGCAGGAGAAACTGGTATTTTTTATCAGAAGTGAAATTATGGCGCTTTTGCTTAAAAAAACAATACAACAAAGTCCCTCCCTGTTACTTTGTATGCAAGTAAAGGATTTTAGCTACCTCTGTAACCGATTTCTTACCTGATTCTGTTCTGGAAATACTGACAGAGGTCCTTCGGGGCACTCAATGAAATCTTTCAAAGGTGCAAACTGCAATCTTCATTTCTTTGATTGCATAATCAGTCTGAGCATTACATATATATATATAGTGTTCATCCAGGTTCTTATAGACATGTCAGTTCCTTGCCAAAATGGCTAGGGGCTGTTTTATAAACCATTTGTTGGATGAATGTTACAGGTATGTGCACCCTGGACAAGTATCCCTGTATGTTCTGTAATAGATTATTCCTTTTGGTTGTCTTCCCCATCTAGTGGCGGTTTATTTTCTCATTGGTGTAATTCAGAAAACTATGCTGCATTTTGGCCACTAGTTGGAGCCGAAGATCTTAGAAATTAATCTATAGAGAAAATACAGGAATATTTATTTCAGGTACTTATATAGCGCCATCAATTTACACAGCACTTTACATATATATTGTACATTCACATCAGTCCCTAACCCTCAAGGGGTGTACAATCTAAGGTCCCTAACTCACATTCATACGTACATATACTAGGGACAATTTAGACAGGATCCAATTAACCTACCAGCATGTCTTTGGAGTGTGGGAGGCAACCGGAGTACCCGAAGGAAACCCACGCAGGCACAGGGAGAACATGCAAACTCCAGGCAGGAGGGGTCATAGCTGGGATTCGAACCAACGACCCTAGTGCTGCCAGGCGGAAGTGCTAACCATTTAGCCACTGTGCTGCCCAATATTTCTTCCAGGCTGCACAAATCTGTAAGCTGTGCTTCCAATGAATGTTTTACAAACAGACCCCCTAGTGTAAATGACCTAAGGGATTCTAGAGTTGATTTACTAAAACTGAAGAGTGCAAGATCGTGTGCAGCTGTTTATGGCAGCCAATCAGCTTCTGACTTCAGCTTGTTCAATTAAGCTTTACATAAAAAAAAGAAAAGGAAGCCTATTGGTTTCTATGCAAAGCAGCACCAGATTTTGCATTCTCCAGTTTTAGTAAATTAACCCCTATGTGTTGTTTGACCCCAAGGGCGTCATTTACTAAAACTGGAGAGAGCAAAATCTGGTGCAGATCTGCAGAGAAACCAATCAGTTTCCAGGTTTTATTGCCAAAGTTTCATTGAACAAGCTGAAGTTAAAGGCTGATGCAGAGCTGCACAAGATTTTGCACTCTACAGTTTTAGTATTTCATCCCCCAAGGGTCTGCTTTAGGCAAGGAGATCAGTGTTTTGGGTGGTCCTGCCAACAAACTTTATAACAAGCAGAGTGTGCTGCTCCCATGCCCTAGGTTGGGTCATTCTCTGAAAGACCTGGCTGCTAAACAATGATGGCGGCTCCTCCTGTGGCTCATAAGTCATAAGCCTAGAAAGGAGAAAAAGCTGTTTGCACATGCTGGTCCAGACAAACGTTTCCTTCAGTATACAGCACTGTGCTCTGGCTGTGGTACAGGGACTCCTGTCCCATTCCCATAACAAAGTCAAATCGGGCTAAGCGCTGCTCAGCCATTCACAGTAAGTCTTGTATTTGTATGAATGAATACAAGGCTTTTTCTGATTGGCTGAGGTGGAGATTGTGACATCATCCACCTGCCTCCCTACCTCAGCCAATCAGAGGAAGCCTTGTATACATTCATAAAATACAAGGCTTCCTGTGAACGGCTGAGCAGTACTCAGCCTGACTTGATTTTGTTCCGAGAATGGGATGGAAGTATGGCTGCCAGGGCACAGGACTATATACTGTATTTTGCAATGCTACCTATAGTTCATACAGTGCTGACAGCGGGCTCAAGTATTAGTAAAGGAAAACTATTTAAAGTTAAATGAAAGATGGAGGTAGGCTTTAATGCTGCTTGCTACACATTGAAGTATGCTGGGTAGAGGAGGAGGTCATCCTGGGCCAGCCTACAGATGTTTAGTTTGCTAGTGTTCCATTCTCCTGTATGACCCAACAGTACATGAGTTCTGAGGGGTAGCCCCACCGCCATCCCCCAACACTGTCCCTCAATGGACTCAAAGGAAAAGGATTTTATGAAAAAGACAAAAATCTAATTTTATATCCTGCTACACAAAGTAGGCCAGTATTGGTTTCTATGGATGACGTTGGTTTGCACTGGGTATGCTGTGGGTTGGCCCCATCTCCATCCCACATTTATTCCTAAGGATGTTGATCCCATAGAGAGAACAGGAAATTTGTGGGTTTTTGAAATGTAAGTCCTAAGAAAAGTGTTTGCTATTACTATGTTAGGACTGGGGTCTGAACCTTGCTGAGCATCCTGGGACGCTGGACAGTTCCTTGTATAATCTGGCCTTGAACCTTGTTTTTCTTGAAGCTTGAGTCCTTTGTTCCTTCCATGAACTTCATATTGTAGCCATACCTTTGCACTTTCAGTTTGCCGGGTTATAATGCTCTCTCCAGACAATATCTCACTCTTGTCACTCCTGCTGCCATTCGTATCTTCAGTACCACTTGTTACCAACCTTTGGCTTGTTTCTGGACTATGCATCTGCTTAATTCCAACCTGTAACCACTTGTTGTCCACATTTGGCTGGTTACTGACTACACTTCTGCTTGATCCCTACCTGCTTTATCTGCTACTGGACCCCAGCTTGCTCACCTGGTGAGGTGATCCTGAGAACCATGACCTGGTACTAACACACAGCAACACCCATCAGGAGCTTTGGGGAACACCGGTTAGTGCTTAGACTCCGTACCTCAAGTGAGCCTGCGTCATCCGCCAGGGGGACCTGCTTGTATACTGCTGTAGCTACTGGTCGCCGAGCTTGACCTCGACATACTGATAGGATGATTTATAGCCTGCAAATCATAACTTCCCATGTGGATGGACTTTTGTCTTTTTTCAGCCAGACTATGTAACTATGTAAATCACCACTACAATTAATTTTCATTGCACATCTGATTTCACTGTTAGGTATAACGCTGCTAAAATAAAAAAAAAAATCCAGCATAAATTATAGCAAGAGTGCAGTTTATTAAAAAGCAGATACCAAAAAAAATGACAATAGATGTGATCTTAAATTGTAGTCATACTTTAAAACGTTTCCACGTCCTCCCCTGCCATGAGCGACAAGTGTGATGACCGCATAGCGGGGATGGGTCTGAAGTCTACACAAGTTCAGAATGAATACAACCCCCCCCCCCCCCCCCCCCCTTCTGCTCATTATATTTTCTTGCAAACGGAGATGCCTGTCCAACCAGAATTCGTTACCTAAATTTTCACAAAAATTTTTGTGTATCATGTGCTGTGCAAAATTATAATTGGCTCTATTTCTGAAAGAAGAACTCCGTTTTATTCATTTGCATAATTTCTAATGGCTGATTGAAGTACTGTAATGTAATGTTCAAGAACTGATGTAATTTGTTTCAAAGACAAGCTATTTTCAAAAGCCAACAAGTTTCGAGTGCTATACTCTGCCCTCTTCATCAGGGCTCGGTGTAATGTGATACAACTATGATGAAGCTGGATATTGGGCTGGCAGCTTCTATACACCAAACAATGCCAACCTTGGGTTGGCATGAGGGTAAGCCTAAGACTGAAGTGCTATACTATAATGTTGAAGCCAGGGGCGGACTGACAACTCATGGGGCCCCCGGGCAATAGGGGATCATGGGGCCCCTGTGTCCTTGCCCAAACTCAAAAAAGCCTATGAAAAAGGTACCAGGGGCATCTCATGGGGCCCCCTGCTGACCCCGGGCCCGAGTTTCCAAATGGTCAGTCCGCCCCTGGTTGAAGCCCAGATGTAAATTTATGCCAAAGATAAATTTTTTGCAAAACCAAAGGTATTTTGGGGTCTATACTCTGCTCCTTCATCAGGATAAATAAGTTTAGGACTGAAGCACCACAACATAACCTTCAAGTCCAGATGTTATTTTATCCCAAAGATGTTCTTTCCAAAATCAACATGTTTCTGGAGCTACACTCTGCCCCCTTCATCAGGGTTAAAGAAACTATGTATGTGGACTCAACAATCAGTAAATAATTAGGTGTTTTAATACTGGGCAAGTCAGCGCAACAGTTTAAACCAGCTTGGAATAAGTTACTCATTAATTTTTCTGAGTCTCTCTACATTGATTCTTCAAGCCCCGATAGGGGGTGTGAAATATAGTCCCTGAAACACGTTGAACTTTGTAAATAACTTATCTTCAGGATAAAAATTACATATGGGCTTGAAGATCACGCTGTGGTGCTTGAATCCTAGATTCAGTTACCCTCCTGTCAACCCAAGGTTGGCATTATCCAGTGTGCAGAAGGTGCCATCCCAATATCGAGATTCTTCACCACCATCACACCAAGCCCTAATGAAGGGGTGTAGTATAGCCCCCCGAAACGCGTTTGTATTTGTAAACTTATGTTTAGGATAAACGTTACATCTGGACTTGAACATTACAGTGTGGAGTCTCAATCCTTGATTCATTCACCCCAAGGTTGGCATTGTTTGTGTGCAGAAGCTGCCAGCACAGCATCCGGATTCTCCATAGTCATACCACCATCATATCGTTGGAAGATGGCAACAATTCAAAAATAACATATAATCAAACTTCAGGCTTCCAGCATCTTTAACCCATTTTCTGGAGTCTTCAGCCAACTTTTTTGACTGGCCTGGGATGACTTAATTCCCAAGAATGTACATGGGAGTTACTTGATCCCAGAACTCATATCATGCCCTACTGTGCTGGAAAATGCTAAGAAAACCCATCTGGAATCCAAAGAAATTATAAATTCATAAATCCTGGATGATAAATTTGGGATATATAGCACAGCACATGAATTCAGGAATGTGAACATCTCATTTTTATTTCAAGTCTGGCTCCATCCAGATGAAGGATTTCTATACTTTCCTATCTGTTATTTTGTAAGAAAAAATAATTACCTTATAGCCAACTATTGCCACAATACTTGCTGATCACCTACAACTAGACATTTGTATCTGCCATCAATAACGGGATTCAACTCATTGCCAAAAAGGAACAGCACTCAAACCGAGAATGTAAAGAGGAACTCCAGACAAAAAAGGAATTTAAAAAAAAAAAAAAAATGGTCATTGGCCTTCATGCATGCCTCAACTCTTGTGTGCATCCTAAGCACCTCATCCAGTGCCTGAAACGTGATTGTGGTAATAGGACCTTGCATGGTAATGAAGATAAATAGTAGAACTGCAACTCCATTGTAGATCTATACCGAATGCTAGTAATTGCATCTTGGCAAATCCTATTTGCTATAAGGAAGCCCTTCTGAAAGAATTATGGAGACCATCACTGGTGGCCTTCTTCTACCTGGGTCTCTTTCTAAGTCAATGCATTTGTATTACAGCCAGGCTAGATATCTACCTCAGTTCAGGTTTCCTTTACGATAGCCCATAGCTCTGGTTTTCTTTGCATGCGATGTCACAAATCTTCCGCAGCTCTGGCTGTAGAGATTTCTACGTGTATTCTACAAGGCTTGGGAAACCAGTAGGTGTGTGGTAGCGGTGGACCGGTGAGAGTCTAAATCTCGTTTAAGGAGTGTAACCTGTAGTAGCGATGGCCACTTGTTATGATCTAGCACAACCATTCTCAACCAGGGCTCCTCCAGAGGTTGCTAAGGGTTCACTGAGCTGTGACTGACTGACCTCCCATCTGATCGTGCCTGCGTAGTTCTGGGGGTCATCACCACTTGGCAGTGCCAACACCATAACATCGATCATCTTTTTAGCTGTCTGTAATGGTGGAATTCTGATCACCACTGTAAGCATTACCTTCTTTTAAACTAAAGACAAATTCCTTGAATGGCGTACATACTTGACTAACAAAGCTGATTCTTCCTACTGACCCTCAGAGCAAGGGACATTCGTCCCACTGACCTTCAATGTGAGGATCATTCTTCTCACTGACCACCAATGTAAAAAGGAATTCTTCCAAATGATCACCAATGTAAGGGGCATTCTTCCCACTGACCACCAATGCTCACTTTTAGGCGATCTCTGAAATCTCTTCAGGGAAGACTATCCTGCCCTCAGCTAATACTGGATTCTTCTACTCTTCCAACCAGTCCACCCCCCACAGTTACTACCTTTTGTACCACTAGCCCCTCCCTCCTAGATTGTAAGCTCCAAGGAGCAGGGCCCTCAAATCCCTCTTGTATTGAACTGTATTGTTGCTGTATTGTCTCCCGCTGTATTGTAAAGCGCTGAGCAAATTGTTGGCGCTATATAAATCCTGTATAATAATAATAATATATAAATCCTGTATAAGAATAATAATGTAAGGAGCATTCTTCCCACTGATCGCCAATGTAAGAGGCATTCTTCCCACTGATCACCAATGTAAGGAACATTCTTCCCACTGATCACCAATGTAAGGGACATTCTTCACACTGACCACCAATGTAAGGGACATTCTTCCCACTAATCACCAATGTAAGGGACATTCTTCCCACTGATCACCAATGTAAGGAACATTCTTCCCACTGATCACCAATGTAAGGGACATTCTTCCCACTGATCACCAATGTAAGGAGCATTCTTCCCACTGATCACCAATGTAAGGGACATTCTTCCCACTGATCGCCAATGTAAGGAGCATTCTTCCCACTGATCGCCAATGTAAGGAGCATTCTTCCCACTGATCGCCAATGTAAGGGACATTCTTTCCACTGACCACCAATGTAAGGGACATTCTTCCCACTGATCGCCAATGTAGGGAGCATTCTTCCCACTGATCACCAATGTAAGGAACATTCTTCTCACTGATCGCCAATGTAAGGGGCATTCTTCCCACTGATCGCCAATGTAAGGAACATTCTTCCCACTGATCGCCAATGTAAGGGACATTCTTCCCACTGATCGCCAATGTAAGGGGCATTCTTCCCACTGATCGCCAATGTAAGGGGCATTCTTCCCACTGATCGCCAATGTAAGGGGCATTCTTCTCACTGATCGCCAATGTAAGGGTCATTCTTCCCACTGCTCGCCAATGTAAGGGGCATTCTTCCCACTGACAGCCAATGTAAGGAACATTCTTCCCACTGATCACCAATGTAAGGGACATTCTTCCCACTGATCACCAATGTTAGGAGCATTCTTCCCACTGATCACCAATGTAAGGGACATTCTTCCCACTGATCACCAATGTAAGGGGCATTATCCCCACAGATCACCAATGTAAGGGACATTCTTCCCACTGATCGCCAATGTAAGGGACATTCTTCCCAATGATCGCCAATGTAAGGAGCATTCTTCCCACTGATCGCCAATGTAAGGAGCATTCTTCCCACTGATCGCCAATGTAAGGGACATTCTTCCCACTGATCGCCAATGTAAGGAGCATTCTTCCCACTGATTGCCAATGTAAGGGACATTCTTCCCACTGATCGCCAATGTAAGGGACATTCTTCCCAATGATCGCCAATGTAAGGAGCATTCTTCCCACTGATCGCCAATGTAAGGAGCATTCTTCCCACTGATCGCCAATGTAAGGGACATTCTTCCCACTGATCACCAATGTAAGGAACATTCTTCCCACTGATCGCCAATGTAAGGGACATTCTTCCCACTGATCGCCAATGTAAGGGACATTCTTCCCACTGATCGCCAATGTAAGGAGCATTCTTCCCACTGATCGCCAATGTAAGAGACATTCTTCCCACTGATCGCCAATGTAAGGGACATTCTTCCCACTGATCGCCAATGTAAGGAGCATTCTTCCCACTGATCGCCAATGTAGGGAGCATTCTTCCCACTGATCGCCAATGTAAGGAGCATTCTTCCCACTGATCGCCAATGTAAGGGGCATTCTTCCCACTGATCGCCAATGTAAGGAACATTCTTCCCACTGATCGCCAATGTAAGGGGCATTCTTCCCACTGATCGCCAATGTAAGGGGCATTCTTCCCACTGATCGCCAATGTAAGGGGCATTCTTCCCACTGATCGCCAATGTAAGGGGCATTCTTCCCACTGATCGCCAATGTAAGGGGCATTCTTCCCACTGCTCGCCAATGTAAGGGGCATTCTTCCCACTGACAGCCAATGTAAGGGACATTCAACCCACTGCTCGCCAATGTAAGGGGCATTCTTTCCACTGATCGCCAATGTAAGGGGCATTCTTCCCACTGATCGCCAATGTAAGGGGCATTCTTCCCACTGATCGCCAATGTAAGGGGCATTCTTCCCACTGATCGCCAATGTAAAGAAAATTCTTCCCACTGATCGCCAATGTAAGGGACATTCTTCCCACTGATCGCCAATGTAAGGGGCATTCTTCCCACTGATCGCCAATGTAAGGGGCATTCCTCCCACTGATCGCCAATGTAAAGAAAATTCTTTCCACTGATCGCCAATGTAAGGGACATTCTTCCCACTGATCGCCAATGTAAGGGGCATTCTTCCCACTGATCGCCAATGTAAGGGGCATTCTTCCCACTGATCGCCAATGTAAGGGGCATTCTTCCCACTGATCACCAATGTAAGGGGCATTCTTCCCACTGATCACCAATGTAAGGAGCATTCTTTCCACTGATCACCAATGTAAGGGGCATTCTTCCCACTGATCACCAATGTAAAGGGGAATTCTTCCCACTGATCACCAATGTAAGGGGCATTTTTTACACTGACCCCTAATAAATTGTTTTTTGTAAGGGTCCCTCTGAGACCTGGTTTATTTTAGGGATTCCTCTGGGGTAAAAGGTTTGATAAAAGCTTATCTAGCCTTCTGATCACTGTGGATGAATCTATAGATGATCTAATTCCAGATAGAATTCACTAGATAGCAGGCTTTAAAGCTGAATAGGGCTGATCTGTCAGTGTGTCTGTGGCAATAAGGTCGGAATCCATCCCTGAAGGAGGGTAAGGCCTTTTCCCAGCAACGTTTTGGCTGTATATATGATGCTCTTATCCAATGAACATTTTAAAAGAATCATTGCAGTAGATAACTGCACCTGGCACTCCTAACCCCACATAGAAGGCTTGAGAGAATTAGATATTGGGAAGCAATCTCCAAGGCTACTCAATGATTGATTTGCCGACAGGCTATTAGCAGAATACACTCCTCCACAGGAAACACAATACGAGGGGAGGGCAGTTGCACTGGCATCTCTGATATAGAACTACAGTGTATTTTCAGCCAGATCTTTCTTTTTTGGATAGAGTGGGGGAGGGTTTGAATTTTTGCCTGGTTTTAGTGTTCTAGGTGGGACCAGTAGCGAAGGCTTTCCCTTTTTCACATTGCAGTGAGAAGCCTCCAAAAGGCACAGGCATCAGTAAACCTTTTATTTAGTAGAAAAACAAAGTCTAGAACCTCCGTCTGCTTTTTATTTTTTTATGGCTGTCTGTGGTGTCCCTGTTGGCATTTTTCCCTTATTTGCTGTCCAGGCGACAACCTTATCACTGAAACATGTGAGATGAAATCTAAAACTGCAGTATAAACCGAGTGAGTTTCTTACACTTCATTACTCCATCCAAAACTAAAAATGTTTCTGTTGAAGTTACATGTTAAAGTTGAACTCCGGGATAAGGAAATTATCTAAATCCATTTGTCATGTTTATTCTTCCCTGAATCTCTGTGTGCTTTGTTTATTTCTTCCAGATGGGCAGTAATCCAGTGTGAGCCTTTCCTGTAATAAAGACTGCTCACTGCTGCTCTCTCTCCTTGTGCAGGGTGACTGGTCTGATCTCCGCCCAGTCCTATTGTTGCCTGTAGTGGAATGGAGCCTGCTGGGCCCCTCCCACAGCTCTGCTCTCTGCACAAACTATGTACAGCACAGTGATAATGTCACTGCTACTGGGCTTCACCAGATGTTCGTTGTGCAGGGTGACTGGTCTTGTACAGGGTGACTGGTCTGCTCTCCTCCCCCCTCCTATAGTTGCCTGTAGTTAGGTGGAGTCTATTTGGCCCCTCCCACAGCCCGGTTCTCTGCACAGGCTATGTAAAGCACAGTGATTATGGCATTGCTACCTTTACAAGGCAATATTTGGACTTCCCAAGACATTTAGCCACACCATGTGGATTTATATCCTTTGTTACTATGGAATACCATATAGGTCTCATGCATACATATGACAGTACTTGTGCTAATTCCACAGGTGACCTGCACGAAGAGGGTCCAAAAGTTCTATACAGGGATTTGATAAAGGAGGCTACACCCTCCAAAACATGTTGTAGCAACAGCTCACATACCCAGTCAGCAGCCAGCTGCTCGCATCACGTGACCCCAAGCACGGCTTCCTGTGCATGTGAACTGTCAGTGTGCATGAGCTCAAGCACACCACTGACTGCATTCGGTCCAGGGCTGCTGCCATATTCACACGGTCATCGGAAGCTCCTATCAAGGATGGCAAGAGAATTTTGGTGCATAGTACCGTGGTGGGAAGATGTGATTGATGAGCTCTGATTCATTTTTGCTTGTGAGTGTATTTTTATTTAGTTTTTATTATAAAATAACGGGTATTGAACCCAGAGCTTGTGTGCTCTTTTCTCTTTTTTTGTGTGTATGAAATACCATATATATAAATAAATATAGGTATTTGTTCCTAGAATTCAGCTTTAAGTCAAGATGGGATACTATTTACAAAGCTTAGGATAATGCAAGGTCCTGTTTAAATAAATAGTGACTGATGACTTCTACTGAATTAAATATATATATCTATAAATAATGTGTATATAGAAAGGAAATATTTTTGCCTGGAGTTCTGTCTTGAAGGCCATTCCAACCCAAAGCCAACCCTATCTTATGTCTCTCAAAAACATGTCATGGTGAGGATACCCCACAGTGGTTCGTGTCTCTGCCCATCTTACAAGGCCAAAACAATATGAACTTTCTGCAGCTGGGCTCTCTGATTCTTTTTTTATTCTCCAGCAATCATGGGGAGTCCATCGGCAGGGACAGCCGGACAAATCAGGAAATGGCCTTGCGGATATCTCCCTGAGAGATCTAAAAGCCACACAAAACTGAGCTTATCTATTTTACGTTGTTAAAGCCACTTGGAGTTAATCTGCCCCCTTACATGCTGTACTCTGTTTTCCCCTCATTCAGTGCATATCAAGATTTCTAGCATCCAAAAATGTGTAAAAATATAACTGTGAAAAAAAAGCAATGAAAGTAGACCTCTGTCAATATACGACTCTACGTAACCACCAACTCTTCACATGACCACCAACTTGTCCCGGGTTCATGTTGTGGAAGCTACGTGTTCTCTTGTACAAAAGTATATATATGTATATATATTTATCTAGGTTTCTGTGTTTTTTTTGGAAAAAATAGAGGAATGGCAGAGACTCTATGAAGATTTGCTGTTCTGCAAGCACCAACGTGCACTAGATCTCTTAAAAGGCCACCCAGCCTCAAGTCTTCCCCTTCCTGCAAATTCTCATTTAAAGCAAAAAAAAAAAAAATTTGGTGGTCCAGAAGCAGTGAAGATGGTGCAGGCAGGTGGCAGAAAGGAAAATTCTATCCGACACTTAAAATAGAAATGGTTTAAATTCTTTTTTTTTTGTGTATATATATATATTTTTTTTTTTACCTTTTTCATATTTTTTTCTGCTTTTATCCTTGTTTTTTTTTCTTCCAAATATAATGAAAGATATTGCACTCTTGTTGCATCCCACTAACTACATGGGGTGGGTAATTATCACAGTAAACTAGCAGAGAGCCATCCGTCCTTTGCAGCGGAGCACCTGGATGTCTTGTGACCGGTGCAATTCGCTTTCTTAGTCTGTGCTCATCGAAGGCTCCAATAAAAAATTTTGTCTACCCTGAATGTTGTGTCATAATGCATCTTTTGTCATAACGTCTACAGTGTCTATCAATGGTCATCTGTATCTATCCAGTTGAGTCAGCTGAATCCAACAGTATCTATTGATGGTCATCGGTCATACCGTTGTGTGAGCTGAATCCTACATGTTTATCGATGGTCATTCGTGTTCATCCTGTTGGGTCAGCTGAATCCTACAGTATCTATCAGTGGTTACTGGTGTCCATTCTGTTGAGTCAGCTGAATCCTACAGCATCTATTGATGGCCATCCTTGTCCATCCCATTGTGTCAGCTGAATCCTACAGTATCTATCCTTGGTCATCCTTGCCCGTCCCGTTGGGTCAGCTGAATCCTACAGTATCTATCCATGGTCATCCTTGTCCATCCCGTTGGGTCTACTGAATCCTTCAGTACCTATCAGTGGGCATCTTTGTTCATCCTGTTGGGTCAGCTGAATCCTACAGTATCTACTGATGGTCATCCTTTTCCATACCGTTGGTCAGTTAAATCCTACAGTATCTAATTGATGGTCATCCTTGTCCATATCGTTGGTCAGTTGAATCCTACAGTATATATCGATGGTTATCCTTGTCCATCCTGTTGGGTCAACTGAATCCTACAGTATCTACCGATGGTCACCAGTGTTTGTCCCATTGAGTTGACTGCATCCAGCATCTCAAATTTCCTTCTAAGACCATCGGTCTTTATCCCTGTAGAACGGTCAGACGTCAAGCAGAAACGTTTTAAAAAAGGCAACTTTAGAGAGAAAAAAGAAAGTGTATAATATACTGTCTCTTCACGTTGGTTTTCCTGGTGTTAGGGTAAACTCTGGAGAAAGACCTCCAGGTTTGGTGGTATAAGTCTGCTTGGACTTCATGGTAGGTGTCTGGGTGATTGCTGCTTGACCATACAATGAGCTTATCAAGAGTTCTCCACCACTTGGTGGGGCAGAGTGACGGATGAGCCATTGATGAAGGAGCCTTGTTTGTCTCGTCCTTTCAGGAAAAATGTGAGCAGCTCTCCTTTGCCTTTCACGTAAATAGGACCCCTCCGCACAAATCGGAAACCGTACTCCTTGAGGATATCATGTGTATCTTCAACAACCTGCAAGTAAATATAATACGAAGAGTTACAATCAAAGTTGTAACTACAGATCATAGGGCCGCACAACACAATTTTAATTGGGCTCTCCAGTGATCACTCTGTGGCACCTGGCAATGTCAGTTGTAACTATACTATCGTTGATCTTTATTAAACTGGTTGTAAAGGCTGAAGGTTTTTTACCTTCATGCCTTTTATGCATGAAGGTAAAAAACCTTTGTTTATGCTGCAGCCCCCCCAGCTCCCTCAATACTTACCTGGGCCTCATCGCGATCCACCAATGTGAATGACAGTCTCGGCTGTTCCAGGTCTCTGCCTTTTCATTGGCTGTGACAGCAAGTGGAAGCTATTGGCTCCAGCTGCTGTCAATCACAGCCAGTTAGCCAATGAGGAGAGGGGGCGGGGCCAAGCCATGGCTCCATGTGTAAATGGGCACACAGAACAGCGGGTGCCTCCATAGCAAGCTGCTTGCTGTGGGGGCACCCGACAGAAAGGAGGAGCCAGTAGAGCCTGCGGGGGACCCAAAAAGAAGAAGATCCAGGCTGCTCTGTGCAAAACCCACTGAACACAGCAGGTAAGTATAGACATGTTTGTTACTTTACAAAAAAAAAAAAGAAAATTTAGAATCGCTTTAAGGACAGGTGGCATTACAACCTGAGGAAGATTGCATTAGGCATTAAGGGTAATTTTAGAGCTGGCTAGTAGCTGTAGAAAGTTCAGAGGGCAATACATTTCCAGTTGTGTTCAAAATAATAGCAGTGTGTTGAAAAAAGTGAATAAAGCTCAAAATCCTTCTAATAGCTTTTATTTCCATACACAAATGCATTGGGAACACTACACATTCTATTCCAAATCAAAACATGAAGAAAAATATCAAATTTGTGTTGTTCCTCTAAAAAAATTGAAGAAAAGTGAATATTAGACTGTTCAAAAAAATAGCAGTGTTTGTATTCTTCTTTACAAACTCAAACATTCACAATATAAACTGAAAAATGTTTGAAGATTCTGCTTTCCTTTGAATCACTTAATGAATATTTGGTTGTAGTCGCACTGTTTCTGAGAACTGCTGTACATCTGTGTTGTATGGAGTCACCCAACTTCTGGCCCCTGTGATCAGGTATTCCAGCCCAGGATGATTGGACGACATTCCACAGTTCTTCTCTATTTCTTGGTTTTGCCTCAGAAACTGCATTTTTGATGTCACCCCACAAGTTTTCTATTGGATTAAGATCCGGGGATTGGGCTGGCCACTCCATAACGTCAATCTTGTTGGTCTGGAACCAAGATGTTGCACGTTTACTGGTGTGTTTGGGGTCATTGTCTTGTTGGAACACCCATTTCAAGGGCATTTCCTCTTCAGCATAAGGCAGCATGACCTCTTCAAGTATTCTGATGTATTCAAACTGATCCATGATCCCTGGTATGCGATAAATAGGCCCAACACCGTAGTATGAGAAACATCCCCATATCATGATGCTTGCACCACCATGCTTCACTGTCTTCATAGTGTACTGTGGCTTGAATTCAGTGTTTGGGGGTCGTCTGACAAACTGTCTCCGGCCAATAGACCCAAAAAGAACAATCTTACTTTCATCAGTCCACAAAATGTTGTGCCATTTCTCTTTAGGCCAGTCAATGTGTTCTTTGGCAAATTGTAACCTCTTCAGCACACGTCTTTTTTTCAACAGTGGGACTTTGCGGGGGCTTCTTGCAGATAGCTTGGCTTCACATAGGCGTCTTCTAATTGTAACAGTCCTCACAGGGAACTTTACACCTTCTTTCATCTTCCTGGAGCTGATTGTTGGCTGAGTCCTTGCCATTTTGGCTATTCTTCTATCCATTTGAATGTAGTTTTTTGCCTTCTTCCACGTCTTTCAGGTTTGGTTGCCATTTTAAAGCATTTGCGATCATTTTAGCTGAGCAGCCTATCATTTTCTGCACTTCTTTATATGTTTTCCCACTGCAATCAACTTTTTAATCAAGGTACGCTGTTCTTCTGAACAATGTCTGGAACGACCCATTTTCCTCAGAATTTCAGAGAGAAATGCACTGTAACCAGCATGTACAACATTTGCTGCCTTCCTTCCTTAAATAAGGGCAATAATTGCCACCTGTTTTTCAAAGAATGAATGACCTCACTAATAGAACTCCACACTGCTATTATTTTGAACATGCCCCTTTCAATGAGTGATTCAATGACACAGAATCAGCAGCATGCATGTCATGACTGTTGGGTCTGTTGGATTTCTATTACTCTACTACACCTGCTAGTAAATTATTTGCCATGTAGAAATATCATTTCTACCAAAAACAGTGATTGATCAGGTTAGTGATGTCTGACTGCTATATATTTTGAACACAACTGTACATTGCTAACGCAGCAAACAAGTGACCCTTACTGCACAAAGAATGAAAAGGGGATCTGTGACTAGTGATGATCCTGAAGACTCCTCCTGTGTGTCTAACATCAGCTCTTCTAGGTTGGAGACTATAAAGGGGAGTACAGGGTCATAGCAAACTGCAACCTCTCCAATTCTTAATCATGCAGTACTGGATTTGGGCTAACCTCACACATTGTGTTACCTTCTAGGTTTAATTTGCCTCAACAGCCCCCTACCATTCTTAGTCCTCATAGCAGCCACATGGTCTTCTAAGGCTATGGTTGCACCAAAAGTTAGAATACAGAACTGATGGTAGAAAATAAGTACTTAGTTTTGTTTTATTTGGGTAATCAACTGGTCCTTCTATTCTAGTCTCCACAATGTAAAATATCTGGAAAGCCCAATCAGAAAATGCAATGTAATTTATAGAGGAGGCAGAGCTCTCTTGCAGTTGATCTGTGTGTAAAAACAATATTTCACCCATTTACCACCATTCTTAACTTCTATGCTTAAAGTGTATCTAAAAAACAAAAATGGACTATATTGCAGCTTTCCAGCCCTCAGAAGTGATGACTATATGAGTAGCTCACACAATGGGGTTGATTTACTAAAGGCAAATAGACTGTGCACTTTGCATACTGCAGTTGCTCCAGAGCTTAATAAATGAGGTAAAGCTTCACTTTGCAAAGAATACCCAATAATGTGCTAGGAAAATAAAAAAAACAGCATTTTTGTTTGCACATGATTGATTGAAGAACGTCATCAGAGCTTCTGCTCATTTACTAAGCTCTGGAGCACCTGCTCTTGCAGAGTGTATCTGCACTTTGCAAAGTGCACAGTCTACTTCCTTTTAGTAAATCAATCCCAATGTTGTAAGCCTTTCCTGTTCTCCTTTGTGAATTACAGAACACCCTACCCCATGTTACGGAGAGCAGAAGGTATTTGTAGTTCAAATCAGGGGAGGGAGGAAGTGTGTTAATGGATCAAGTAAATGAAACCAATGGATACAGTCACCACATCTAAGAACCAGTAATGTGCAATATACTACATTTTTGTTTTGTGGTTTAGATATACTTTAAAGAGACCCTTGCACATGTATGAGAAGAAATGTAAGGTCCTTCCATTCTGCTTAGACCATGTTGTAAACCAAACTATTTTGCACTCCCTGCCATCTCCAGCCTAAACTGTTATTTAAAATGTTGCCATTCTCTCGATCAGTAATGCAAGTACCTGAGGTTAGCTGCAGTAGTGATCCAGGTGGCTAATGACAAAAGTTGAAAGCTGTGTCCAGGCACTGCCACTGAATGGCTGGCTCTGCCAGAATGTCGCCTAATAACATCACCCATGTGGCCAGTAACAGTGGCTGTGTTTAGGTACCAGCCAGTAAAGGATGGCTGTAGGTACAGTATAACACAGTTTCTGAAATCATCCTTCAGGACAACGAGTTGGAGCCCACTCATTGTCTCAGTTGGGTCCTGCTCAGTAGGTCAAGCCATTTTCCTTTCTTCTAATGTGTGGTTACTAATTGGACTCAAACAGACTTTCTTAATGAAAGAGAAAGTATCGAAGATTTCAATCCTGGCAAGATGGGGGCCAAATGTTCACACGCTCTCAATGAGGAATGCTATGTCTATTATGGGCAAAGAACAAAAAGAGGGCGCACAGGCCTAGTGCATTACCATAAAAAATGTTTAATAAGAAATAATAAAGTAGGTGTTGTACTCACAAACGACAATATAGTCAAAGCCTTTTGGATGTCTAAACTCCCTATTGCGGACTGTTACTCAGCGCGGTGTTGACCCAGCTGTTCTTTTATGATGTGCCTTGACTATATTGTCGTTTGTGAGTACAACACCTACTTTATTATTTCTTATTAAACATTTTTTATGGTAATGCACTAGGCCTGTGTGCCCTCTTTTTGTTCTTTCCCCATTCAGTATATTTGGATTCCCCCGGTGCATTTGAGGGCAGCAAGGTGTGCATGTTCCAGGACATTCTTAATGTGGTTGTAGCATCGAGTCCATCCCCAAGCGCAGGAGCATTTGTGTTTGCTGGGTCTATTATGGGCAGCCTGACATCCAGGGGCAGACTGACCATTCGAGCACTCGGGCACTGCCCGAGGGCCTGGGGTCAGTAGGGGGCCCCTTGAGATGCCCCTGGTACCTTTCATTGGCTTTTTTTATAGGCTTTTTTGGGTGTGGGAGAGGACACAGGGGCCCCATGATCCCCTATTGCCCGGGGGCCCCATGAGTTGTCAGTCTGCCCCTGCTGACGTCAACGATCCTTGGAGTGGTCTGGGCTCAAGCTCACTTTATACCACCCCAGGAACAAGTATTCATAAATTGGAATGGGCTCAAACAGAGCTTAGAAAAGCTACTCCAGACACCCAAGGAGGTAAAGCACTGCTTGAGATGGTGGATGAAGGTCGATCACCTCAGTCAGGGGAGGCTGCGGTGTTACTTTACTCAGAATGAAGTGTCCAAGATTTCAGTACTGGCAAGATTGCCTAATATTGACACTCTCAGTAAGGAAAGCTTTGTCCATTATGAACAGCATGACATCGATGATCCCTGGAGTGGTCTGGGATCATTCCAGACCACCCCAGAGCTTAGTCTTTAAAATTTGAAGGGGACGTTTCCTACTTAATCGCTAAGAGGAGACCAAGTCAAAAAATAAGTTAATTATCACATGGGTAGAAGAAAACCCGGCATCTATCTCAGCTACCTAGATCAGAAGAAAACAAAATGTTCCTGAGGCCTGCTGAACAGGAACCAGCTAAGGCAAAGAGAATGGGTTTCCAACTCATCATCCCAAAGGATTAATGGAAAAAGAATTGTCAGGTAATATCTCTAAGTTTTCTTAGCTGCTCCCCCTGCAGACAGCTGTAAGTGATGTGCAATAATCTACCTTTGTAACATAGTTTATGGCTGCTCAAACAATTACCTACTTTTACTGTAAGACCTTGATTATGCAATAACAGTCTCTATATGATTATATGACCTTATTATGAATAACGGCATTTGAATTAAGTCCAAAATTTGGCTATTACAATGATCTAGTCATTAGCTTGCTGAATAGGGGAGTAGCCCTCCCTCAAGGAATTTCACAGTCTCGGAGGATTGAGAAAGGCTAACATTTCAACAATGACCTTCCAAATACCAAAATGGGTGGGTCAGCAATCCAGTCAATGGTGAGGACAGAGGGCATTGGTAGGGAACACAGCAAGTCTCTCTCCTGGAGGCTAGAAGGTCCACACCAAACGTGAGCATCTTTTCTGGAACATGACAGCAGAGACATTGTCATTATGACCATTTTGAACTGTCAATCAATAGAGGCTGGAGTTAGAAATGCCATTTGTTTCCTGATACCAAAGACACCCTTAATGTTGTCTGGACTGTATATAAAATGGTTTTACCCATACCTGTATATTTCCCAGGACTCCAGTGGATTCCATTCTGCTGGCCACGTTCACTGTATTCCCCCAAATATCATAATGTGGCTTGCGAGCTCCGATCACACCAGCCAAGACACCCCCTTTGTTCAGTCCTGCCATAAGAAAAATTGGATTTTTTTTGTTGGTAGAATATCTTTATTTTTTTTTCTTCTGTCCTGTGTTGGTCACATCCAACAGACAGCAATGCTTCCAAATCCTTTCAAGCAGAACTACAAGTGCAGCTGCAGTGCTGCACAGTTCTAAGCCTTCTATAGAATCAAGTTTTACAGTTACTGAGAATATAGAGAGTGCAATTTAGCTTCACCATCCCCATCAGCTACCCAAGCTAAAGTTCTGTGTTCATAAAGACCTAAACAGAGCATACTGGTTGGAGAGAACACCCGTGGACCCATTATTTGTTAAAGAAAAACTGACACTAACATTGAAAATTTAATTCTGGTTGCCCAGAGCACTATTAGAGCACTACTAGGATATGTCATTAAGGTCAGGACCAGGATAATCAAGTTCTTCCATATCAAACTCATCTGACCATGTCTTTTTGGATCTGGCTTTGTTCACAAAGGTAGCAAAGTCATGCTGGAACAAAAATAGCCTTCAACAAACTGTTACCACAAGGTTGGAAGAGCAAAATGGTCTACAGCAGGCATCATTAAATGGCAGACCTTGGTCTGGATCCAGACGGAGTTAATTTCCCATCCGGACTGCTGTGGTACCAGTTAGGACCTGATTATTTCTCCCTGCCTCTGCTGCTGTCACTATTACAGCAGAGTGGAGAGCGGGAGGCAAAACAGTCCTGTACACAGGTTAGAAGGCAGTAGATAGAGAGTGGGAACAGACGCTGCCAGAGTTTAAGGGGGAAGAGCTGTGGAAGCTGGAATATGAAGGAGGGCAGCGCTGTGGGGAGCTGTGATGTGAAGGGGGCAGAGCTGCAGTGGGATCTGTGATGTGAAGGAGGGGCAGAGCTGTGGAAGGCTGTGATGTGAAAGAGGGAGCAGGGCTGTGGGGGGCTGTGATGGGAAGGAGGGCAGAGCTGTGGAAGGCTGTGATGTGAAGAGGGGGCAGAACTGTGGGGGGCTGTGATGGGAAGGAGGGCAGAGCTGTGGAAGGCTGTGATGTGAAAGAGGGAGCAGAGCTGTGGGGGGCTGTGATGGGAAGGAGGGCAGAGCTGTGGAAGGCTGTGATGGGAAGAGGGGGCAGAACTGTGGGGGGCTGTGATGCGAATGGGGGGACAGAGCTGTGGAGGGCTGAGATGTGAAGGGGGCAGAACTGTGGAGGGCTGAGATGTGAAGGGGACAGAGCTGCAGTGGGGTCTGTGATGTGAAGGAGGGGCAGAGCTGTGGGGGGTTGTGATGTGAAGGGGGGGGCAGAGTTGTGGGGGGGCTGAGATGTGAAGGGGGGGCAGAGCTGTGGGGGGCTGAGATGTGAAGGGGGGCAGAGTTGCAGTGGGGTCTGTGATGTGAAGGAGGGGCAGTGCTGTGGGGGGTTGTGATGTGAAGGGGGATAGAGCTGCAGGGGGCTGCGATGTGAAGGGGGACAGAGCTGTGAGGTGAAGGACGAGCAGAGCTGTGGGGGGGCTGTGATGTGAAGGGGGGGGGAGAGCTGTGTGGGGGCTGTGATGCGAAGGGGGGGAGAGCTGTGATGCGAAGGGGGGGGGCAGAGCTGTGGGGGACTGAGATGAGAAGGGGGGCAGAGTTTCAGTGGGGTATGTGATGTGAAGGAGGGGCAGAGCTGTGGGGGGTTGTGATGTGAAGGGGGATAGAGCAGCAGGGGGCTGTGATGTGAAGGGGGACAGAGCTGTGAGGTGAAGGAGGAGCAGAGCTATGGGGGGGCTGTGATGTGAAGGGGGGCAGAGCTGTGAGGGGCTGTGATGTGAAGGAGGCAGAGCTGCAGTGGGGTCTGTGATGTGAAGGGCTGTGATGTGAAGGGGGGGCAGATCTGTTGGGGGGAGGGGCTGTGATGTGGGGGGGGGGGGCTGTGATGTGAAGGGGGGCAGAGCTGTGGGGGATTGTGATGTGAAGGAAGCAGAGGACACCGCTGTGAAGGCGGGATCAGAACACTCCTGTGAAGGGAAAACTGTAATGTGAAGGGGAATTGTGACACGCAAGGGGACTGAGGACACTGATGTAAGCGGGATTGTGAAATAAAGGAGAGGAGCTGTGATGTGAAGGACCTGAGTCATTGCACAAGCATGTGATGTGGACCTCTGCTGGAAGAAAAATTTACTGATTGAACTTCCATTAATTTATTTTCGTTCAGTACCTCTGGTCTACAATGTCTTTGCATGCTGACCTCCTACAGCCTCTTTGTAGCCACTTTCTGTCCACACACACTCAGTGAAGGTTGCATGGCAGTTCTGGGTACAGGTTTCCTGATGGACATCATGCTTAAGTAATTTGCATTTAAATGGCCACTTGTAGTCTCCATTGGAAGCCCAGGTGACAGGATGACAATTGGGAGATAAGGTCACAGCATTGTCAACCTATAACAGGAAGTGCCTGAGCAAAGCGGGATCACCAGGTATGCTTTTAATAAAAGCTGCAGATTTTAAATTATTGAAAATTAATTTTTAAATTACTGGGAAAACTTATATGAGATTTTTAGAGATTGGGTACAGATCTACTTTAAGCTCATGTAAAGACAAATCTCCAGGAATCCTAACACTGAAAGTACACAAATCAGCATGTGGGGCCTGATGTACTGTACCTTGATATGCCTTGGCATGGAAGCATGTAATAATCTAAAATGTCCCCAAGATGGCAACAGTTCCCAAAAGACAGAAAAGACATCACTGGGGCTGTGCCTTGAAAGCAACTCTATGGGGGGGATTTACCAAAAGCAAATAGTCTGTGCACTTTGGAAGCACAGTTGCTCCAGAGCTTAGAAAATGAGGCGAAGATTCGCTTTGCAAAGAATACCCAATCACATGCAAGAAAAATAAAAGAACTGCCTTCTTGCTTCCACGTGAATGGATGATGGAAGTCAGCAGAGCTTCACCTCATTTACTGAGTTAATTTGCCTTAGTAAATAAACCCCAGTGAGTGCTAGTTCTAAAACAGTGTATCTCATCCAGGGTGCTTTGCAGTACACAGAATGAGGAGGTGTGGAATAGGGAATGTACAGTACAGTGTAAAGAGTGAGGCATTGTGGAATAGGGAAAGTATAGTGCAATGTACAGAATGAGGTGGTGTGGAATAGGGAATGTATAGTGCAATGTACAGAATGAGGTGGTGTGGAATAGGGAATGTACAGTGCAGTGTACAGAATGAGTTGGTGTGGAATAGGGAATGTACAGTGCAGTGTACAGAATGAGTTGGTGTGGAATAGGGAATGTACAGTGCAGTGTACAGAGTGAGTTGGTGTGGAATAGGGAATGTAAAGTGCAGTGTACAGAATGAAGTGGTGTGGAATAGGGAATGAACAGTGCAGTGTACAGAGTGAGGTGGTGTGGAATAGGGAATGAACAGTGCAGTGTACAGAATGAGGTGGTGTGGAATAGGGAATGAACAGTGCAGTGTACAGAATGAGGTGGTGTGGAATAGGGAATGTAAAGTGCAATGTACAGAATGAAGTGGTGTGGAATAGGGAATGTAAAGTGCAGTGTACAGAATGCGTTGGTGTGGCATAAGGAATGTACAGTGCAGTGTACAGAATGAGTTGGTGTGGAATATGGAATGTCTAGTGCAATGTACAGAATGAGTTGGTGTGGAATAGGGAATGTACAGTGCAGTGCACAGAATGCGTTGGTGTGGCATAGGGAATGTACAGTGCAGTGCACAGAATGCGTTGGTGTGGCATAGGGAATGTACAGTACAGTGTACAGAATGAGGTGGTGTAGCAATCAATATGGCCACCCTGGGTATGAATACGCCATAACAAGGTATCCTGAAAACATTAGCACACAGGGGTAAAATTATATCTAATGAAGCAGATAACTCTGCTGTGTATATCTAAAACAAATATATTGAGTACTTACCAATCCTCAGCATGAAGTTGTTGAATGACTGGTAATTAATATTCATCAATGACACCTTCATGGCCAGAGCAAAGTCTGCCAGGTCTGCCAGGTGCTGCCAGCGTTCCTTATCGGAGATTTCCTCCTTCTGCAAAAGCAAAAGAAATGGAGGTGTCATTTTATAGGTCCCTACACCACATCCCCCACCAGGGATCATGATCCCAGTGGAGGGGGGTAAAGAAGTCAAAACAGCCAGGATTAACATATCCGACATACTGGGGTTGATTTACTAAAACTGGAGAGTGCAAAATCTGGTGCAGCTCTGCATAGAAACCAATCAGCTTCCAGGTTTTTTGTTAAAGCTTAATTGAAGAAGCTGAAGTTAGAAGCTGATTGGCGACCATGCAGAGCTGCACCAGATTTTGTCAAGTTTTAGTAAATCAACCCCACTGTGTCCATCTGGTTTGCAAGAGTCAAGTAACTTATGGGGGACTTTATTGACTCTCTCAAAATTTACAGAGGAATAAGAATGACCTGTACCTCCTAGATCTATTTAACTACTACTCCCTCCTACCAGGGTCTTCAAACCCAATCCCTCTGGGCAATGGTGTAGCGTGCGTTGCCAGTGTCCGGGACAAGGCAAATACTGCACCCCCTAACCCATGGCAGTGAAAGATAGTAAGAAAATCTGTGCCTGTGTGCCTGGTTTTATTATCTACTCATAGTGTTGCCTCCTGTGGCCCTATGCCACCCCTCGAGAGGCTGGAGGTCAATTCCCAGCTGGCAGCAACCCAAAACAGGGTGGTCCTTGGCCCTGTCCAGTTGGGTAGTCAAGCACAGGGCTGTAGCCCAGGCTTCTCCCTGGAAAAGGGTTGATGAGAGTATACCTTGATATGTAGGCAGTGTGGCACCAGTCATCACAGGGGCCCATAGTGTGTGATCCAGGGTGAGGTCCAGAAGAATGTTTCTGCATACTCTAAGTCCAGTCCCTGGTCTTGCCCATAGTTAGGGTACTGGGCGGCAGTGGGGTAGCTCTCGATTCCGGGGTGGTCTCACAAAGATCCAAGGAACATACCAACATCCTTATCTTGGAAGTAACTGGTGTACAAGGTGGCAGCTGCTTGGCAGCTCATGCCCCCTGCACTGTGCTTCTTCCTAGCTCTGCTCCTGACTGGCTCTGACTCAGGCACTCCAAGACATGTTAGTAAGACCACACCAATGGCAGATTACATCAGCTTCCCGATGGAACCCTCCAAGGGTGCACTATTTTTTATTTATTACTACTACTTTTTTTTCCTTTTGAAAATTTGCACACCTAAGAATTTTGCACCTAGGGCAACTGCCCCTGTGGCCCCACCCACGCTATGCCACTGCATTTGGACACAACCATACACCTTCTGAGCCTCTAATGAACTGACACCACTCTCAGAAAGTGGTATCAGGGAAGGTAAACATATACTGGTCATGCTGGCCCCCAGCCCTCTCCTCCATCTGGTCTCCCCTTCCTCCTAACCTTCTGAACCCCCTTTCTCCCCTTACACTACACAACAATAAACACCATATCCCACCATGGAGCCCTTACATCCATGCAACACCCTCATAGGTACCTGATACTACCTTCTATCTTTGCAAATCCACGTCTTAAACTTCGTTCTGACCAACACAAGGTGGATAAGTTGACCACCATTGTTTTTACCCCCTTCTTCTGTTGTTATCCTCTGTTTTTCACAGTGATTATAAGAATAAATATTAATTTACCCAATGATGCATTGAGACTGTTGACTTGCTGTTACTATTGATATTATTTGATAATTGATGAAATGTGTATGTAATGGTTTACTTCATGTACTGTATATCCTGAAAACATAATTAAAACCCTACAATTTAAAGAAAAAACCAGGCTTGGTTCCCCCTAAAGCTGCCCCTACACGTTACATTCTTATTGTACAGTCTCTGTATAGTCTCCTTTAGGTTCACCAAAACTATGTAACATGAAAATCTACCTAACCAATATAATCAATATATAGGCAATCAGGTACATTTTAAACAACAAAGTAGTTGGTAGATCTAACAGAGATTTTACAATCAGATTGTAACGTGTGCAGTCAACTTCCTGCTCTGCATCCTTGGAACATCTTTGGTTTTAGCCAGCGTGGCAAAGCTATGAAAGCCCAGCGAATGGGAGGAGGGAAAGGTGTCCCAAAGCCACTTCTGGTTTATAACAAGATCTGAAGGGTGTGTGTGTGAATTTGTACCCATTCAGCCAGAGTTTTTCTTCTCCCCTTTATTGGTTGAACTAGATGGACTTGTGTCTTTTTTCAACCAGATTAACTATGTAAAAACATTTGTGAGGTCAGGTACTGATGTTGGGTGAGATGACATTGGCTCACAACTGGCATTCCAATCCATACCAAAAGGTGTTCAGTAGGGTTAAGATCAAGGCTTTGTGTAGGCCACTCAAGTTCCTCCACACCAAATAGGTCAAACTATGTCTTTATGGAGCTGGCTTTGTACACAGGAGTTTCCAAAGTCCAAGAATGCTTCACCATTAACAGTGCCCTTCATTGGAAATACCTGTACCCAATCATCTGGAGGCCACCAATCATCTGGAGGCCATCTGTTGGCCACATACTGTAGGCAAGTGTGATGGTTAGGTATCCACAAACCTTTGCCCATATAGGGTATGTCATTAACTTGCAGTAAAAAAAATAGTTGTACCATTGTCCAGCTGTCTTTGAAAACAAACCTTTATGGTGTTGTTGAATCCATTTGTGTTGGGGTCTGGAGTGACGCCGGATGCAGCCATGTAGGTGCTACCAATGGTCTTGATCTTGGTGATACAGCGAAACTGCGGCTCATCCAACAGCTGGAAACAAAGAAATTCCAGAAAATGATGTACTTTCACAAGGAATGGACACTCTGCTGATATTGCTGTACAAAAGGATTTTCCTATAAGTAGAATGGGGATCGTACCGCATCAAAATCTGAGATGATCTCATTGAGGAATCTCAGGCACTCAATACCGCCATTGTTGATGTTCTCCTCAGTGTAAAAGTCGGAGAAGTTTGGGATGGAAGCAAACATCACCCCGATCTCATCGTACGACTGGCTGTACAACTCCTAGAAGATATGCAATGAAAAGTCCATCAACTGAATCCCTGTATTTTGCATAGAAGACATTTTAAAATTGATGAATAACTATTACCTATGGGATAGTGGGGGAGGCGGCTTAATAGGAAAAAATGGAAAATAATTTTTTTTCCCCCAACAACTTGCCCTTCGCACTATAGCAGAAGTACTGCTACAGGGCGGCAGGGCTACGCAAAATCACGTGTATATATATATATATATATATATACGTGATTTTCATTTCCAGGTAGGGGGGGCAAGCGCCGCCCTTCATACGCTGCTATTGGGGGCTAGAGATGTCAGTCTCTGACTCCCGGCCGGTGATTCCCCGCTGGCACTCAGCAATCGACGGGGAAAGCTGACAGGGGAGAGACCTGTGTGTAAGCAACACAGGTCTCTCTCCTGTCAGCATAGACATGCTGTTTTGTATCTCTCTACACAGCAGAGAGATACAAAACAGCATGACTCCCTAGTAAAACAATGCCCTTAAAAAAAGTTAACCCTTTGATCGCACCAGATGTTGATTCCTTCCTGCCCAGTGTCATTAGTACAGTGTCAGTGCTTTTTCAAGTAAACCAATTAATTTACACGTATTGGGATTTTTTTTTTAGCAAAGACGTAGCAGAATACATTTTGGCCTAAATTTATGAAGAAATTCGATTTTTAAAATTTTTTTTATTGGATAGGTTTTATAGCAAAAAGTTAAAAAATATATTTTTTTTAATCAAAATTAGTCAGTCTTTTTTTGTTTATAGCGCAAAAAAAACCCAAAACAACGCAGAGGTGATCAAATACCACCGAAGGAAAGCTCTATTTGTGGGAAAAAAATATGACATAAATTTCTATTATGTACAGCGTTGCATGACCGCGCAATTGTCAGATAAAGTAATGCAGCACCGTATCACAAAAAAATGGCCTGGTCAGGAAGGGGGGGGGTAAATCCTCTGGAGGACAAGTGGTTAAATAATCTTTTTTTATATATTTTTAAACAATCTTTTTTAAAAATTATTTTACAGGTTTCCCCCCCCCATTTGGGGAAGATAAGAAGGCTGCATTACATCCCTATCCCCCCCTCTCTCCATCTGACTGTGTGCGGTCCTGCAGCATTATCACATACAATGCAGAGCTAACAACCTTTCATTGTACATGAAGGAGGCAAGAGATTGACCATAGTTAAGAGCGCCTTAGAAAGGAGACTTGAAGACCCTTCTTGGGTTAGACATATATTTACTACATTTAAACTGGAATTTGACCTAATGTTTTTAATTTAAGATGGAACAGTAGAAGGTCTAAAGCAGGGATGCTCAACCTACGGAAGAGCGAGATCCACTTAAGCAATTTGTAATCGGTTACGGGCCATAATGAAATGAAATGGTTCAGAATTTCTAATTTTTTTATTTTAAATAGCATAATGAACATTTTCCTTCTGCGGCCGCTGAATGCCTGAATGCAGGAGGAAAATGGAGAGGATTGGTTCATGTATATGCCACTCCTGCCGCACCTCTTGTCCAAGTGTAAAACAGAATGTGACAGGGAGGCTGCATGGGCCCCCTGGGGCATGGGTCACCATTGACATTACACCAGTGGTTTGGGAGTTGTGACAAAAACATGTTTCGGTTATGGGGTTTTACTGCCCCCAAAACGCAAATGTAAGCAAGCCTTACTGTCCTGAGCCCCCTATAAGGCTGCTTTCACACTGATGCGCTGCGGTTTACCCACACCCTGGATGCAGCGCAGCGCACCTGTGCCTTTCCTGCGGGTAGACTGTGCTTTTCCATAGACTTTTATTATATCTTGGAAGTGTTCTGCACTTTTTGAAAGCACACCATAACCTCTGCATTCAGGAGTTTTTGTGTACTTTCAGAAAGTGCACCAAACCAGCAGGATACAATAGAAGTGTGCTTCCCTGGTTAGAGGTCGAGGGCCACATCAGAGAGATCCAAAGGCCACATGTGGCCATCAGGCCACAGACTGAGCACCCCTGGTCTAAAGTATATCTGAAGCCATATTATTTTGAAGAGCAGGGAAGGGTTAGAACCGTCTTTTATTTGCCATCTTTTTCATACTAGGGAGATTTCGCTTCACTTCCTGTTCTGCAGACGCCCACAGAAAGTGATGGTAATATGAGGGAAATCCCATACCCAGTTGCCAATAAAACAAATGTCCTGATTGGAAGAATCCACCTCACTTCCTGTTTGGGTGACAACTCAAAAGTAGGATTTGCCGTCACTTTCAGTCTTGGACACAATGGTCAGCAGGACAAACTGACAGAGTGAATCAGGGGCGGACTGACAACTCATGGGGCCCCCGGGCAATAGGGGTCATGGGGCCCCTGTGTCCCTGCCAAAACTCAAAAAAGCCTATGAAAAAGGTACCAGGGGCATCTCATGGGGCCCCCTACTGACCCCGGACCCTCGGGCAGTGCCCGAGTTTCCAAATGGTCAGTCCTCCCCTGGAGTGAATATACCCAAAGGAAACCCAGACAGCAATAAAATGCCAACAAAGGCTCTCAGAATTACATGACCCCCTACTTCCCCCATTACCCCGTTCGCTTCCTCACTGACCTGTTCTCTCATTAGAGCAAAGCGGAAAAAGCCCAGTGCATGTTCTAAGTCACTCTAGCTGGAGATTGCACAAGGCTAAAGAACATACTTTCCCCCATTCCCCAGGATAGAAAAATGTGCATTTCAAATTGCTCCAAGTAGCAGGGAGTGAAAGAAAGGCAAGTATAAGTAGCAGAAGCGGTGCCCTGTATATTCAAAACACACTTTAGTTCTTCAAAACCCCAATATGAAATATCATCTGCTGGAGATGATCAGCTGAAAAGCTGAACTTAACATGGGCACAGCTACGGTGGGGCTCTCAGATAACTGTAAATTTATAGTCCACTTCTTTGCACCCAAAATGTAAAAACACTTCTATTTTGGGAAGTGGTCTTTAAATTGTGACTGGGTTTCTGTGTATACTACCACCTTGAAATTTTGGTTGTTCATGCCTATGTGGGGGTATTTCCACTAAGGAAAGGTGGAAGCCCCTCTGAATGTCTGCATCACATAACTGGGAACTCCAGGCCCAAGGTCTCATCATTGGAGAATTATACTAGTATCTACAGAGAAAAGTGTGCAGATGGGTTATATTTTACTTCATTCATATACAGATTTCTCTCACCTCATCCCTCTTTTTGGAGCCCAGGAAGTGTCGAGCCACGTGTTCCGGCAGCATGTTAGTGACCAGAGCCTCGTTCCAGCGCCTCATATCGTACACCTTCTCCTTCTGCTCGTGGACGTCAATCTTCCACAGGAACAATGTCCTGGCCAATTTCTCCACCTATAGGAACCAAATACAACTTTCAAATTCAAGTGGAACTAAATTCAAAAAGTGAATATTTTTCTTCCTTATAGTATAGAAAATCTTCAAACTCCAGAAATTGCAATTGTGCCTGAGCAGAAACTTGAGAACCTACCTTTTGTCTTGAGTTCCTACTAAAAAATAACAGGGCACTTCCTGTGCCTAGGCACCCCTGTTCCGTAGCCTCATGGCTGTATATCTGCAGTGTGAAATCATCTAAGGCAGTGGTCTCCAAACTGTGGCCTGTGGGCCAAATGCGGCCCTTTGTTTGCCTTTATCTGGCCCTTGTGGCACTATTCCTCCTACTTATACGAAGCAGTGTTCTCCACTTTGACAACAACAGTGGGGCATAATTCCTCCTTCTAACACCAACAGGGGGTATTCTTCCTCCCACTGACGCCAGTGATGAGACATAACTTCTTCCTTTAACACCAATGATAGAGAACTATTCCTCCCACTGACACCAGCGATGCGGCACTATTCCTCCCACTGACACCAGCGATGGGGCACTATTCCTCCCTCTGACACCAATGATGGGGCACCATTCTATTCCTTCCACATACACCAATGATAGGGCATTATTCCTATTACTGACACCAATGATAGGGAACTATTTCTCCCTCGGGGCAATATTCTATTCCTCCTACATACACCAATGATGGATCAATATTCCTCCTAATGACACCAACTATGGGGAACTATTTCTCCCTGTGACAGCAACAATGGGGTTCTATTTCACCCACTGACACCAACAATGAGGCACTATTCCTCTCACGAACTCCAAAAATGGGGGCACTATTCCGCCTGCTAATACCAGTGATGGGGCACTTTTCCTCCTCCTACTGACCACAGGGGTGATATGTATTTTTTTTTGTCCCACTGACCACCAAGTCTGAGGCATTATCTACTCCCAATGGCCACAGTCTGGACCCCCTAAAGTCTGAAGGACAGTAAAAAAAGTTTGGAGACCCCTGATCTATGGCATCTGACTGCTAGTCTCACCAGATTTGGAATAAGATTTGGTGATGTCACTACTGTTCTCCCTGCTGGACAGGAAGCTGTACATGGGGACCTGCAGTGAAAAGATCTCCTTGCTTCTGCTTTAGACATTCTGTGGGTATCATTACCTCATCAGATCACCAGTCATCAGGAAGGTATCTCTGACATGAGTAAGTAAAGCCCTGCCTCTAGCAAGATGGCTGCCTCCACAGTAACACACAGTGCAGAGCAAGGCATGGTAAGTCAGTAATGGGAAAAAGATCAATATCAGGGAGCCTGCAAACAATGCTGATAACTGGTCCTTTGTCCCCTGCTTGCCTTGTTGGGGAAAGCTTCTACAGTACAGATCGTGTGTGTGTGTGTGTGTGTGTGTGTAGCCTGGAAGTTGGTACCATAACTGGGCTTTCATGATCAATGTTGGTGGTCATCAGACAGAAATGCACTTACGTGGCGGGCGAAGTAGTAGAAGCTAAGCATCATGATGAAGATCATTGCTGTCATGGAATATTTGGAAGGAACCAGGTTCGCTCTGTGGGAAGAGACCAAAAACTATTTTCCATAAAAACTCCACAAACTGTATTGTTCAGTAAGCAGAGGACCTTTAAACAGATGTTTTTGGTGCATTGCTATGATGTTATCCCTAATCTGAAATCTACCAATAAAGCCAACACTTAACCTCAACACTCCCCTTAATCTAACACTACACATCAACTCAACTCTTGAATCCAACAGTTAACCTCAACTTTACCCCTTCATTTGATGCATATCCTCAGCTTAACCCACTCGACTAACACTTAAGCACAACCAACCCTTCATTTAACATTTAACCTCAATCTAAGTCCTTCATCTAACACTTAACTTCAACATAGCTGCTGCATTTACAGGGATCTATTTATAAACAAATTAGTTGGATGAATCTCACAAGCATTCCCCCAAATGTGAGGAATTTTCCCATGTTTTGTCTAATAGGTTTATTTCCTATGATTGACACAATTCACAGGGACATCGCCGCTGCCCAGACTTCCACCACACCTATCTCCTCTCACACAGCAACCCCCTCAACACCCGTCTCCCTTGGCCTCACCACTGTTCAGACCTCCACCTCACCTAACATCCCTCACACTGAAGCCCCTCAACACTCCACTCCTTCGACCTTAGTACCACTGAGGAGGTCACTAAGGTCTTCTCTGAAGCCCACCTCACCACCTGCCCCCTCGACCCTGTCCCCTCACAACTCCTACGATCTCCCTCCTCCTCTCTCCCTCTCTTCTGGCGCATTCCCCTCCCCTCTGAAGCACGCGCACATCACTCCCATACTTAAAAAGCCCTCCCTGGACCCCACCGACTCAAACAACCTTAGACCCATCTCCCTGCTGCCATTCACATCCCAACTCCTTGAGCGCTTGTCTATAATCGCCTAAGCTCCCACCTAAACGACAACAACCTCCTTGACCCCCTACAGTCCGGCTTCCGTCCCCTACACTCCACCAAAACTACCTTACTCAAACTCACCAACGACCTGCTAACCGCCAAAGCTAATGGCCACTATTCAGTGCTCCTACTCCTCGACCTCTTTGCGGCTTTCAACACAGTTGACCATCCCCTCCTCCTCAAAAAACTACACTCCCTTGGCCTCAGAGACTCCGCTTTCTCCTGGCTCTCGTCCTACCTATCACAACGCTCCTTCAGCATTACCTATAACGCTAGCACCTCCCCCTCACTCCCCCTCTCTGTTGGGGTCCCTCAAGGATCTGTCCTCGGGCCCCTTTTTTTCTCCATCTACACCTCCTCCCTTGGCCAACTGATACACTCTCACGGCTTCAACTACCACCTCTATGCCGATGACCCCTTGCCTCACCCCTTCAGTCTCCACCCGAATCACCAGCCTACTGAATGACATATCAGATTGGATGTCGCTCCACTTCCTTAAACTGAACCTCTCCAAATCCGAGCTCTTAGTTTTCCCCCCCAGCCCGCGCACCCCCTCCCCCCCCCACTGACTTCTCCATCACGTCCAACAATGACACCATCAGGCCCACCCCGCAAGCCAGAGTACTTGGTGTCATTCTAGACTCCAATCTATCCTTCCAGCCCCAAGCCCAATCGCTAACAAACTCGTGCAGACTCCACCTCCGCAACATTGCCAAAATATGCCCATTCCTAACCCCAGAAACCACTAAGCAACTCATCCACTCCCTCATCATATCACGACTCAATTACTGCAACTCCCTCCTCACTGGCCTGCCTCACCACAGGCTATCCCCGCTTCAGTCGATCCTGAATACGGCGGCCAGACTCATCCACCACCCCCCTCTGCCAATCCCTCCACTGGCTTCCGATTGCCCAACGGATCAAATTCAAAATGCTAACAGTGACTTTCAAAGCTGTCCATAATTCTGCCCCAAACTACATCACCGAACTGATATCCAAATACCACCCAAAACGCACTCTCCGCTCCACACAAGACCTCCTTCTCTCTAGTTCCCTGATTTCCTCCTCCCATGCCCGCCTCCAGGACTTCTCCAGGGTATCACCCATCCTCTGGAACTCCCTACCCCAATCCATCAGACTATCACCTACTCTCCTTTCCTTTAGGCGCACCCTGAAAACCCATCTCTTCAGGGAAGCCTACCCCGCCCTCTGCTAATTGCCGATCTCTTCCACTCTTCCTACCACTCCATCCCCCACAGCTTTTCCTCCCATACCACTATCCCCTCCCTCCTAGATTGTAAGCTCCAAGGAGCAGGGCCCTCTAACCCCTCGTGTATCGCACTGTATTGTTATTGTACTGTCTCATGTATTGTCTCCCATTGTAATGTACAGCGCTGAGTGAACTGTTGGCGCTTTATAAATACTGTATAATAATAATAATAATAATGATGGTCAGCTCCATCCATTGGTCACAATGTGCTGTTTTCCTGTTTGAAGAATTTCAGGAAAATGCTGCTTTACTGCCACTATATGAAGCTGACAATCATAGGAAATAAATTAGACAAAATAAGGGGAAAATTTGATACGACTTTGTGACATTTATACAGCAAATGTTTATAAACAGATCATTTAACCATTTCAATACCGGGCAATTTTACACCTTCCAGCCCAGGCCAGTTTTCACGTTTCAGCGCTCTCACATACAACATTGTACCCAAACTAAAATGTTATCATTTTCTTCACACAACTAGAGCTTTCTTTTGGTGGTATGTAATCACCGCTGGGGTTTTTATTTTTTTGCTAAATTAACAAAAAAAGACAGAAAATTTTGAAAAAAAAAAACACGTTTTCTTTGTTTCTGTTATAAAAGTTTACAAATAAATAATTGTTCTTCATAAATTTAGGCCGAGATGTATTCTGCTACATGTCTTTGGTGAAAATAACCCAAATTAGGATGTATTATTTAGTTTGTAGGAAAGTTATAGAGTTCACAAACTATGGTATAGATCTGAATATTGATCAATCCTGAAGTACTGACGGCCAATCTAATTTCTTGAGGTCCAAGAATGTCAGAACAATACAGATATCCCCAAATGACCCCTTTTTGCAGAGTAGACAGTCCGACGTACTTCATAAGAGGAATGGTGAGTTTTTTGAAGCTGTATTTTTTTTTGTCATAATTTTTCGCAAAATGAAAAAATTAAAATTATTTTCACTATTTTTTTTTTACATACTGTCACCAGTGCAGTACAGCGTCATCATATAACTGGCATGGCGGTGAACAGGGACACTGACTGGTGACAGTATGAAAAAAAAATATATATATATTTATTTTTTATATTTTTTTTAATTACATTTTTTTTATTTTTTTTAAGATTTTTTTTTTCATATTTTACTATGACCAAAGTAATACAATGTTACCATAGTAACATTGTACTTCTTTGGGGAAGTGATCAGTATTTTTTTTTTTTTTTACACAATTTGCTTATAGCAAAGAATTACTTTACTATAAGCAAGCATTTACCTGAATGACATCGATTCATTCAGGTTTTTTTTTTTTTTTTTTGTGCTTAGCTGTGATTTGGCCACAGCTAATCACATGACATGTGCATGTGACCTGCTGTGACCATTCACAGCTAGGCACAAGTATACAATGGATGGCATGAATGAAGCCATCCATTGTATACAACTGTCATGTGACCTGCTGTGATTGGTCACAACAGGTCACATGGCACCGGCAACGGGGGCCGGTACTCAGATCTGTCATCGGCCGTGTCCGAGGTACACGGCCGGTGACAGATCGCGCCGCTGCGCGGCTCTGCAACCGTGCGAACTGCACATGTGAAGGAGGACGCCAAATGGCATATACCCCGGAAATCTATCACATTTTTTGCGCCCGCCAAACGGCTATAGGCCGGGCGGCTAATGGTTAATCTTAACATAACAACTTCATCTAGCTCCTAACCTCAATCTAACCCTTTCATCCAATGGTTAACTTCAGCAAAACTTTTTCATCTAACCTTTAAACTCAACCTAACCCCTTCATCTAGCTAACCAAAGCCTTTCATTTAACACTTAACCTTATACAAACCGTCAGCATATTGTTATCATCAAACCCTAAACTCCAACCTAACCCCTCTATCCAACCCTAAATCTCAATATCACCCATTCAACTAACCCTAATCCGCAAACTAACCATTCTATCTGCTCCTAAACCTCAACTTAATCCCTTTCTCACATCATCCTTAACCTAATCCTTTGAATTAATATGAAACCTCAACCTGTCCCCTTCATCAAACCCCAATTGTACCCCAAAATCTAACCCTAAAGTTCAATCTCACCCCTTCGTTTAACCTTAAACCCCAACCAAACCCTTTCACCTGTTCGTAAACCTCAACCAAACCCCTTTCTCTGACACATCACCCCTAACCTAACCCTTTGATGCAATATTAAACCTCAACCTATTCTCTTCACTAAACCTCAAACTTCAATCTAACCTTAAATCTCAGTCTCATCCCTTCGTCTAACCCTAAACCCCAACCAAACCCCTTCATCTGTTCCTAAACCTCAACATAACACCTTCTCTTACACATCACCCTTGACCTAACCCTTTGAATTATTATTAAACATCAACCTATTTTCTTCATCAAACCCCAAACTTCAATCTAACCTTAAATCTCAGTCTCATCCCTTCATCTAACCCTAAACCCCAGCCAAACTCCTTCATCTGTTCCTAGACCTCAACATAACACCTTCTCTTACACATCACCCTTCACCTAACCCTTTGAATTATTTTTATATATCAACCTATTCTCTTCATCAAACCCCAAACCTTAATCTAACTCCAAAATCTCAATCACACCCCTTCATCTCTTACTAATCTCCAACCTCCCGCACCTTATACATTTTTGTATGCCATGAACCTAATAATTCCTTTTCCTTACTTGACAAAAACACATTGAAGTTATAGCACTTGTAACTTCCATACTTAATACATAGATATTCATGGTATACTCCTCAGATCCTGCTTAGACATCCTTTTTTTTTACTCTCTGCATACCACCTGAGGTACAATGCTCAAGTCTAAAAGAATATAATGACATATCTTGACACTTGTGCTTTTGAAAACAATGATGCTGTAAGACTTGTTCAGTCTAGTTCAGAATATTGTGTTGTACTGTGATATTGTCTCATGTCCTATACTGCACATGATGCAAAGTGTTACTTAAATAAAGACTTTATTAAAAAAAAAACCTAATATAACTCATTCACCTAACCCTATACCTCAACCTAAATCCTTAATCTAACCCTAAACCTCAACCTAAACCCCTCACCTAACTTTCAACCTCAACCTATCACCTTCATCTAGCACTGTACCTCAAACTAACCCCTTAAACTCATACTAAACCTCAAACCCTCTTCATCAATCCCTAAACCTCAAACCCAGAATCTAACCCTAAATCTCCGTCTCACTCCATCTAACCTTAAGCCTCAACCTAACCATTTTATCTAAAGCTCAACCTAACCCTTATATCTAACATTTTGCCTTTCCTTACCCCTTCATCAAAACGTAAATCTCAATCTCACCCCTTTATCTAACCCAAAACCTCAAAATAACCCTTTCATCTGAACCTAAACCTCAATCCAGCCCTTTCATCGAACCCTAAACCTCAACTTAACCCATTATTTAACACTTTACCTTAACCTAACCCCTTCATGAAAACCTCACCCTAACCATTTTCTACATTTCAACCTGACCCTTTTATCTAAACCTTAACCAAACCCTTTTACCTAACACTTTACCTTAACTTAACCCCTTTACCAAAACCTAAATCTCAACCCTTCATCTAACCCTAAACCTCAACCTAACCCTTTTATCTAAACATCAACCCAACCATTTTAACCATTTTATCCAACACTTTATCTTAACTCAACCCCTTTATCAAAACTTCAATCTAACCCCGAACCTCAACTAACCCTTTAGTTAAATCCCGACTCTCAGTTTCACCACTTTATCTAACCCTACACCTCAACCTAACCCTTTTATCTAAACCTCAACCTAACCCTTTTATCTAACATTTTTCCTTACATTAACCCCATCCTCAAAACTTAAATCTCAATCCCACTCCTTCATCTAACCCAAAACCCCAACCTAACCCTTTCTTCTAACCCTGAACATAAATCTAACCTTTTTATCTAACCCAAAACCTCAACCTAACCCCTTTATCTAATACTTTACCTTAACCTAACCCCTTCATCAAAACCTTAATCTCTGACAGTAGCTCTGAAGAAAGGGATTCGTCCCAAAACGCATCAGCCATTTGACCACACTGACAGTTGGAACACCTTACCCGTTGTTGCGGGCATCTCCATTATGCAAAAACTTTATATACATGCTATGCCTGTATGTTTTTTTTCTTTTACACCTTTGAATAAATCTTGGATAATGCACTAGGTGTTTGCGCTACATGTCTGCTCTTTAACCTTAAACCTCAACATAACCAATTAATCTATCTCAAAACATCAACCTAATCCTTTTATGTACACTTCAACCTAACTATTTTAGCTTATATTTACGTTAACTTAATACCTACATCAAAACCTCAATCCCAACCCCTTATCTAACCCCAAACCTTAACCTAACCCTTTAATCAAAACCCAACTCTCAATCTCACCACTTCATCTAACTATAAACCTCAACCTAACCCAGGGGTAGGCAACCTGCGGCTCTCTAGCTGTTGTGAAACTACATTTCCCATGAGGCATTGCAACATTACAAAACTGACAGTTACAGCTATGACTTGCAGAGGTATGATGGAACCTGTAGTCCTGCAACTGCTGGAGAGCCGCAGGTTGCCTACCCCTGACCTAACCCCTTCATCTATTCCTAAACCTCAACCTAACCCCTTCATCTAACACTCTAATACTAAACTTCAACCTAATATATTTTCAAATCAAAAATTATAGTATCACGTAGATAATTGTTATATCACGCTGATATTATAGTTCTGAAAATGGTCTAGCTATGATGAAAACTTTGGCAGAAAAAATATGTTATCATCAGGGCTGAAAACACTTAGATACGTGATATAAAGAACAAAAAACTATAGTATCTCGTAGATAATTATTATATCACGCTGATACTACAGTTCTGAATATATAATGCAACAAAACAAATATGAGATGTGGTTTAACAACAATGAAAATTTTGGCACCAAAATTCATTACACATGGAGCTCCTCAACCTCACATATCTATACAGTTTTTGCTCTGGTTTCCATTAATAAAAATGACAACAGGGTAGTTGGATTCATGTTGCCAGATAGCTATAACTAGAAAAATAATGGGCTGCCATTGTGCAAGGTGTGTCTGTTCAATCATTGCCCCATCCTTCTCATCCTAGCCTCGTCTTCTTTGAAAGCTGAGCTGAAGGTTTACGTTTATACAAGGACAAACCTAGATTGGGGAATGCTCAGATTGCACTTGTGTGTTAACTGGCATCTTGGGACTCCAGGTATACCCACAATACAAGGATACCATGAGGATTTATACGATGTGTTAAATCGTTTGTGGACATGTGAGTGGGCATTTTTTATATTCTTTTTCAATAAACATTACTGTATCACGCTATGGGAGATCTCTGTTTATGTCTCTGAGCATCATCTGGTGGCAAGGTACCACCACTATACAGCGGCTGGAGGTGGTTTTTGGATAACAGCGCTTGAGGTGGGATCAACTGTGGACCTGTAGACCGGTTGACATCTGAGGGATACACCCTACATGTAACAAGGCGTATTGGCCCTTGTGGTCAGTGCGGGGAGGTGAGGAGGCACTCAGACCATTATAGGATTGTGGCACCAGTGGCACTCTCACGGCTCCTAAAGGCTCACAGTTTTTGTTTGAAGTGGACTGTATATTATTCACTTTTATCACTTGTTGCAGTGTGTCATTTTTGCATGGTTTTGTGTGCAACCACTATACAAGTATATAGTCACGTTTTTTTCCCCATTGGGGGACACACAAGGGGATTTTATCCTTTTATACATGATTATCTGTGTAACATCTGAGAGTATATACATATCTCTATTTATCAGTCTAGGTTCTATCTATGCACATTTATTCATACATAGTGGTATTTGTTTAGCGCTACACCAATTTCTTATTTATATTTTATCTTACATCTATGGCCAATCGAAAGTCTACATAAAATGCCAACAACCCGTTTAATGGCAATAGGAGAGACTCTTACACATAGCCGTTGAAACGTTTTCTGTCGTAGTCATCAAAAATCGGCCTCCAGGCGTAAATGTTCACCACTCCCACAGCGACACTGATCATCAGCATGAGAGTCAGCTTGACCATATGGCTAACTTGGACCAACATGATGGTGGCGATGAGGGCTAGGACCGCAATGTAGCTGTAATATTTGGGGTTCTCCACGCAGCCCCAGGCCTCCACAGACTGTAAGGTGACGTTGTAGGAGGTGGAGTAGTATTGAAGGCAGCTGAGCTGTGGGACGAACAAGGAACCGTCACATGCGTGAAATGTGGTCAACTTTAGTAATCAATAGGAGATTATCTGTCACTGGTCACTCTATATTAAACCGGTAAAAACAAAAATTGGACTAGTCATCAAGGTCTCTCATTGACAGCTAGACATGTGCATGACGGAAATTTTTTAGTTTTGGATGCATGTGTTATTTGAAGTTTGTTTTGTTATATTTATTATGTTGAACTGATTTCTATTTTAAACTCGTTTCATATATTCAAGATTGGTTTTGTATATTCGTTGGTCTAGGTGTATTCAACAAATGTTGTGGTTTTTCCAGAAGATTGCTATATATTCAATATATTATCAAAGCGAACAAATTGAATTTGGAAGGATTCGATGTTTTAGGACGCTAGTCCAACCCAGCAAGAGAAATGGCATGAGCTGATTGGACAATATCGACTGGCGTCATGTGCATCCAAATTAACAAATGGGATGAAATCCGTATCCAAATTATTGAACAAATTAGAAAATTTTAATAATTTCCTCATGGACCCGCATCATGTGACATCATCCGAATGAAACAAATGCATTTGTTATATTCTTTAAAACTTTTTTTTCGGATTTGTTGACGTTCATTTCTGCATGTATTCGGAGACATTTTTGTCTGAATAACGAATGGGAACTAATGAAAAGCACATGTCTGTTAATAGCCCAGAACATGAAAGCCACTTCTTTATAGGCATACAGTGAAGGAAATAAGTATTTGATCCCCTGCTGATTTTCAATGTTTGCCCACTCACAAAGAAATGATCAGTCTAAAAATCGAATGTTCGGTGTATTGTAACACTGAGAGACAAAATAGCAACAAAAAGTTCAAAAGAAATGCATGTCTAACAAATGATGCACTGATTTGCATGTTCATGAGGGAAATAAGTATTTGATCCCCTATCATTTAGCAGGATTTCTGGCTACCAGGTGTCTTTCATACAGGTAACAAGCTGAGATTAGAAGCAGTCTCTTAAAGGGAGTGCTGCTAATCTCATTTTGTTACCTGTATAAAAGACACCTGTCCACAGGAGCAATCAAACAATCAGATTCCAAACTCTCCACCATGGAAATGACCAAAGAGCTGTCCTAGGATGTCAGGGACAAGATTGTAGACCTACACAAGGCTGGACTGGGCTACCAAACTATCGCCAAGCAGCTTGGTGAGAAGGTGACAACAGTTGGTGCAATCATTCGCAAATGGAAGAAACACAAAAACAACTGTCAGTCTTCCTAGGTCTGGTGCACCATACAAGATCTCACCTCATGGAGTGTCAATGATCATGAGAAAAGTGAGGAATCATCCCAGAACTACAAGTGAGGATCTTGTCAATGATCTCCAGGCAGCTGGGACCACAGTCACCAAGAAAACAATTGGTAACACACTACACCGACAAGGATTGAAATCCTGCAGTGCCCGCAAGGTCCCTCTGCTCAAGAAAGCACATGTCCAGGCCCGTCTGAAGTTTGCCACTGAACACCTGAATGATGCAGAGGAGGACTGGTTGAAAGTGTTGTGGTCAGATGAGACCAAAATTGAGATCTTTGGCCTCAACTCGCCGTGTTTGGAGGAGGAATGCTGCCTATGACCCCAAGAACACCATCCCAACTGTCAAACACGGTGGTCGAAACATTCTGTTTTGGGGGTGTTTTTCTGCTAAGGGGACAGGACAACTGCACCGCATCAAAGGGACGGTAGAAGGGGCAATGTACTGTCAAATCTTGGGTGAGAACCTTCTTCCCTCAGCCAGGGCATTGAAAATGGGTCGTGGATGGGTGTTCCAGCATGACAATGACCCAAAACACACGGCCAAGGCAACAAAGGAGTGGCTCAAGAAGAAGCACATTAAGGTCCTGGAGTGGCCTAGCCAGTCTCTAGAGCTTTTCCTACTGAAAATATGAGGGAGCTGAAAGTTCGAGTTGCCAAATGTCAGCCACCAAACCTTAATGACTTGGAGAGGATCTGCCAAGAGGAGTGGGCCAAAATACCTCCTGAGATGTGTGCAAACCTGGTGGCCAACTACAGGAAATATCTGACCTCTGAGACTGCCAACAAGGGATTTGCCACCAAGTACTAAGTCATGTTTTGTGAAGGGGAACAATTACTTATTCCCCTCATGAACAGGCAAATCAGTGCATCATTTTTTTTGTTGCTATTCTGTCTCTCAGTGTTACAATACACCTACCATTCGATTTGTAGACTGATCATTTCTTTGTGAGTGGGCAAACATTCAAAATCAGCAGGGGATCAAATACTTATTTCCTTCACTGTATAAGAATATTTATTAAGGGGACATACAAGAAGACGGAGTTCTCCTTTAACAACTGAACAAGGTGAGGTATTTGGTTATACAAATAGTGAGCAGCTCCCGTGGTCTCTGGCCACCCATTCCCACCTTCTGCTTCTCTGATTGGAGAATAAAGCCATCTATCACAGCAGTGCTGAGACAAGGCCCTTGATCACCCAAGACAAAAAGGCCAAGGTGTGCCCCTCTCCATAACCTACTGCTTCTGCAGCAGAGATTGCAAATCCTGCCCGTTTGCACATCCCTCCAACAGAAAAGCCCAAGGCGGATGCCTCTCCTGCCTACCCCTCAGCCTAGCCCTACATCACAGCAATGGGTCAAAAATAAGGTGGGATGGGGTTGGCTGGGACCGGTGACGCCAGGAGCTGGTTGCTATTTGCACATCAGAGCACCCTGATTTTATTGGCTTCCCAGGAGTTCTACAGGAGATCACAGATGACTTGCTGGATAAGGTAACATGTTCACACATACTTACCATGCACTCTCTTCTGTCTTCCATGAAGTGCATTTATCGCTCTGCAAAATCACGGGTTAAGATCTGATCCTTCACTAGGTCACATCTTATAAAAGATGAAAGTACTCAAGCCTGGCGATTGGTCAATCAGGTGCCCAATGCTGCTTTTTGAGGAGGCAGGGGACACAGTCACATGGACCTCCATGCCCACAAACACCTGTCTGTCTGTCCTTCATAACCCTTCACTCTACTCTAAGGCTAACATGTCACTTTGCTCTATTTTCCTGTAGGTCTGCATTCATTTACCATTAGAAGCTGTACTATAGCTTCTAGCAATGAAAAGCACTCTGTGAATGGAGGAGATGGCAGGTAAATGAAAGGTCTGCCATAGAGAGATTTTAATTTCTGGAAGCTATAGTACAGCTTCAATGAATGGAGGATGGGCAGATGAATTAAATCTGCCTATTCTGTTCATAGAGTATGTGACGGGAGTCACTTTGGGTGGGGGGCCCATGGAACACAGCTCACTTTGGAGAGGTGGGGAAACCCCTGTCTCAGCTCCCCATATCCCTCTTATGTATAAGTCACCCTGTGCCTGTTAGGGGTGCAGGGTGAGATGTCCTGATATTGTGTAGACATGTATAGGTGGGGTGTGGGGGTTGTTGATTGTTTAATGCCATGTGGCTGTATCCCATTGTTCTATTGTGTGTTTTGCTTGGGAGCAAACTATTATGGGATGTGTGTGTTTGTGTATTGGCTTGGTGGGGGGTGTTTCTGGCAGCCTCTCTCTCTGATGGGTCTGTCTGCTGATGTGTTTCTTGTTGCTAGATTTGGTTTGCCCCCCCTGTGTACTTATGCAGGGAGGGGGAATTTTTCCCTTGAATGTTCATATCTTATGTCTGTGTTAAAATAAAGCAGTCTATTTCCTGAGTTATTTTGAGACTGGTCTCGTCTAGCCTCCTATGGTCAGCGGTGGTGTCCGTGGATCTGTGTTCGGGCAGGGAAAACGGGAGTCTAACAGAAATACCCTAGTGCAGTCGGGTTCCAGTTCCGTTACAGAGTATTTTTCACTTCTGGAAGCTATAGCAGAGCTACTATGAATGGAGTAGGGGGCGGATGAATGAAAGTTCTGCCTACCCAATTCATAGAGCACTTTGCCTTGCTAGAAGCTATAATACAGCTTCTCAGAATAGAGGACAGGAAGATGAATGAAAGGTCACCTCCACCATTCATAGTGCAATTTTCATTGCTTGAAGATATAATACAGCTTTTATGAATAGAGGAAGGGCAAATGAATGAAAGGTCTTCCTCCTCCATTCATAGAGCGTTTTTCATTGATGGAAGTCATAGTACAGCTTCTACAAATGGAGAATAGAATGAATGGTCTGCCTCCTTCATTCACTGAACGCTTTTTCTTTGCTGGAAGCTATATTACTTTGTGGTTACTGAAATCAATCCTATTCTTTGCCAAAACCTCCAAGATTTGACTTCTGTTGTAAACCTGATATAGTGATTGCTCTTAACCTTATGAATATTCCAGTTCTGTGTTTAACTTTTTTATTTGTAAAATAAAAAAAAAGTAGCAACAAAGTTTATCAATAAAATGTATGTAACAGAAAACTAAATAGAAACATTAGACCAACAGCAAGAGGATCGCCTGTTCAGTAGACAAGTCCTGGCTTTCTTACCATGTCCACAATGTCCGCCATGGTGAGGATAAATATGGCGGACATGGCCCAAGTGTTTCTTGCCCACCTGGTCCTGTCTATCCATGTGGAAAAGGCCACTAGCTTTTTTGGGAAGACCTATAGAGAAAGAAGAGACAGGTCATTCTCCAAACCATGAATGGAACAAAACACAGTAAGTATGTGGCAGCAGCTAGACTTCTTCATTTAATAGACAGGTTCTGCTTCATGCTTTAGTTGTGCTGCACAGTGACTATGCTCTGCTGCTTTTTAGTTTACTAGTTTCAGGACTGACTAGCGTTCTCTCCAGGACTGAGATATTATTTCAACAGGTGCTGATTAGGTAGTGCACTTGAAATATGGCACAGCAAGCATGTAAAAACATAAAAGCTCACTGAAAATACATATTGGCTGACAGTCTTGGCTATGTCTCAGAAACATGTTTTTGTGAGAGTTTCCAAGTCTGCACACCCACTGTGCCTTTATGATGGGTTCCCACCATCCCTACACTCTGTTCCTGAGTATGTACAGCTGCGGTGCCAAGTATATGGGATTCAAATCATCTCTTCATTGAGTTCCTGGGTCTGTACTCCTGCTGTGCTCATTATGAGGGGTTCCCACCATCCCTATGCTGAATGCTCAGGTCTGTACACCTGCTGTGCCCATTATAAGGGGCTCCCACCATCCCGGTGCTGAGTTCCCGGGGGTTTGGTACACTTGCTGTGCTCATTTATGAAGGGTTCCCACCATCCCTGTGCTGAGTTCCCAGGTCTTTACACCTGCTGTGCCCATTATAAGGGGCTCCCACCATCCCCGTGCTGAGTTCCCAGGTCTGTACACTTGCTGTGGCCATTATGAGGGGTTTCCACCATCCTGGTGCTGAGTCCCCCAGTCTGTACACCTGCTGTGGTCATTATGAAGGGTTCCCACCATCCCTGTGCTGAGTTCCCGGGTCTTTACACCTGCTGTGCCCATTATGAGGGGTTCCCACCATCCTGGTGCTAATTACCCTGGTCTGTACACCTGCTGTGGTTATTATGAAGGGCTCCCATCATCCTGGGGATGAGTTCCCTGGTCTGTACACTGACTGTGTTCATTAAGAGAGGTTGCCACCATCATTGCTCTGAGATTCCAGGTCTGTACACCTACTGTGCCCATTATGAGGGGTTCCCATCATCCCTGTGCTGAGTTCTTGGATCTGTACACCTGCTGTGCCCAGTATGAGGGATTCCCACCACCCCTGTGATGAGTTCCCAGGTCTGTACACCTGCTTTGCTCATTTTGAGGGGTTCCTACCATCTCTGTACTGAGTTCTTGGGTCTGCACACCTCTCTGTGCTTCTCTATGCACTACAGGCAGATCAAGGCTGGGGCCGGCAGGGTGCTGTACATAGCATTCTGAAAACATCACAGTACCCTAGCTCAGTACTCCTCTTAAAAGCCCTCAGCCCTGATGCAAGCAGCAAGAGGAGTTATGGAAATATCAAATAGCCTTGATGGGTGGATGTCCTTTGCTTGCAGACCATCCTTGGTAATGCCCACATGTGATGCTGACCCTCCATGATTGAAAAAACTGAAATCTAATAAATGAAAGGGTAAGGGCCAGGGACAGTCAAGGCTGGAAAGGAGGAAATGAGCCGGAGCTCTATCTGACTTGCTGCAGCTTCTAATGCACATTGTGAGAAGCTCACAGTGTGCAGTGAAATCAGAGTAAGCCGTTTCAGGCCCGAAGAGGAGCCGGTGCAACTGTGCAAGACTGAAGGGAAGGCTGGAGGTCAGAGTTAATTATCACAGTTGCTCTCCCACCAGTTGTAAAAGAGGAAAACGTACCTTTACAGAAACAGTCATTTGTTTTTAATGCAAAATCTGTTTGCTGTGTAAATTTTTAATTTCCTCATTTTCTAATGAGATAACAGGCCGAGTGTATGCGCGGTGACGGAAGATTGCAGCGTAAATAAGGAAATATGGATCTCCCCGTGTTAATCAAACACAAGCCCAGTGATAACAAGATCACGTTTTTGATAAAGTTGATCTACACGCATTTTTTTTTTCAATTAAAACATGGAGAATTTTATAACTGATCTCTCCTGGAATTGCTACTTGCTTGGCTGCTATTGCCATCCGTTTGCTTTAATACTCCAAGTCACTGACCTGGATCACATTTTGTCTGACTTTCCTGATCTGTATCTATTCCAGGTCAGTAAGTCAGAAAGGATGGATGCCAGTGCAGTCAGGACGCAACATTTTCCGCGATGGGTCAGTAGATTTAGGATGGTTACACTCAGGTGCGGACTGACCATTTGGGAACTCGGGCACTGCCCGAGGGCCCAGGGTCAGAAGGGGGCCCCATGAGATGCCCCTGGTACCTTTTCATAGGCCTTTTTGGGTGTGGTTTAAGTGTGGGCAAGGACACAGGGGCCCCATGGTCCCCTATTGTCCGGGGGCCCCATGAGTTGTCAGTCCGCCCCTGGTTACACTACTTACCTCTTCCTGGAGAACATGCTCTGTAGATACCTTCCAGTGCCAAATGTGACCGGTAGGGTTGAGCTTAGGCACGTTTGGATCCTAGGGAATGCCTCGGCCGCTTATGCTTTTATTTTTGGGTGATTTTGGTAAAAATTATTTTGATGCACATTTGTTGGCAAATTTTTGCCTAAATTGAAAGGGGGGTTGTTTGTTTGGCACAAGAACAGGTTCATGATAGTTGAAAGGAGACTGTCCCCCTGTACCCTTTATAAATGGCGTGGTATACAAGAGGTTAGGGGCGGCACAGTGGCTTAGTGGTTAGCACTTCTGCCTTGCAGTAATTGGGTCATGGGTTCGATTCCCAACCATGGCGCCTCTTGCATGGAGTTTGCATGTTCTCCCTGTGTTTGCGTGGGTTTCCTCTGGGTACTCCAGTTTTCCTCCTACACTCCAAAGACATGCTGGTAGGTTAATTGGCTCCTGTCTAAATTGTCCTAGTTTCATCCCTGGCCACGGGATCTCCTGTATGGTGGGGTTGGGGAAAGACCTGGCAACCTACCCTGTAAAATATTTGCTAAGAGAATTCATGGAAAAAGTCACTTGCGAGTGACGGTCCATGCAATCGCCAAGGGTGGGATACGACTAGATAGATAGATACAAGAGGTTGATGCAGCCATGAGCTTGGTATTGATCTTTACAGTTGGCTAAAGGTTTTCAGATAAAAGAGATCCAGTTGGCACAAGGACAGGACCAACTACATTTATGGGTCTTCCCCGCCCTGCTGCCAGCACTCGCGGTCCCATTCGTCCGAGGAAACAGGGACCGCTGTAAATACCGTCAGCTTGCTATTGATTTTTTTTAGCTGGCCTTTCAGATAAAAGTGATCCAGAATCTAGGTGGCTTTAGAGCCACCTGATCACTTTCATGAGTCTCTGATGGTGTAACTTTAAGCACTCCCCTGTCCTGCCACCACCACCCACGGTGGTTCCTGAGCTTTTGCATTCCTCTGAAGGAACCGAGACCACAGTAAAAGCTGTGAGTTTTCTATTGATTTTTTCAAGTGGCAAAGGCCTTTCAGATAAAAGCGATTAGGTGGCTCTAGAGCAGGGGTGTCAAACTGGCGGCCCTCCAGCTGTTGTACAACTTTGGGAGTCATACTCGTAACTGTCAGCCTTGCAATGACTCATGAGACTTGTAGTTTGGCAACATCTGGAGGGCTGCCAGTTTGATGCCCCTACTCTAGAGCCACTTTTATTGGACTCTGAAGGTGTGCTGGGAGCCCACCAGCCAGTGGTTCCTAAGCTCTCCTATTCCTCCAAGGAGACTGTGGCCATGGTAAATGCTGTGAGCTTTCTATTTATTACTTTTTTAGCTGGCAAAGGCCTTTCAGATAAAATTTATCCAGGTGGCTATAGAGTCACCTGATCACCTTTATGGGCCCCTGAAGGTGTGCCCCCTGCCAGCAGTGGCAGTTCCTGTGCTCTCCTATACCTTCACGGAGGCCAGGATCATGGTAAATGGCTCCCCACAGGAAGTGTCCCCCCTGTGACTAATAAACCCGGAAGCAGCGTCACTTCCAGGTTCACAGCTGTCATTCCATGGATGTTGCAGCCGAGGGTGCAGCTAATCAAGCATGATCTGTTATTGATTGGCTGCAGTGGGTGGCAGGGGAGAAATTGGGGATCTAATAGGACCCTGATGTCTTCATAAAGAATCACATACCCAATGCTATCAACACTGGGGGCTTTGTTAGCCTCCCTGTAAGAGCAGTAAAGTTAAATAAAGAACAAATTAAAAAATTCTAAAAAAAATATATAAAATAAATAAAATAAAAAAATTAGAAGCACCTCTGTCACCCTCATATACACTCCAATTCATACGTACAGCATAAGGCATGGATGTGTATGTAAACATAAACTGTGCCACACGTGAGGTATCGCTGCAAACATCAGCCTGAGAGCAATGATTCAAGTGCCATAAGTCACTGTTAACTCTCAAGTGAAAAGCATTTAAAGCATTGCCTATGGAGCATTTTGGGTATCATAGTTTATGTAACTGTCACTTCCTGTGCACTAACCTGAAAACGCAAATGAAGTTACCAGCATTCCTAGCTATCTTCGGAGGACTACAAAACACCTCCCCCAAAGTAATGGAGAGGAGGAAATGAGGAACTGTTCTTAGTGCAATTCAGGACTGCAGCCTAGGGTGACAACACTATTAATCAATAGATACAGCAAAGTGAGTGCTGTCACCCTAGGGTAGGAAGTGTGTTACTATCAGGATCATCAGATGGAAATAAAGGAAAATAATCACATCTAAGAACTGGTAGGGTGCAATATATTACATTTTCTATTTTGAGTTAGGATATGCTTTGTGTTGTACCAATGACCAGTAGAATGTCTGCAGACTCTGACTTTCTCCTTTAGTATGTCTGCAGACTCTGACTTTCCCCTCTAGTATGTTTGCAGTCTCTGACCATCTCCTGTATCATGTCTGCAGTCTCTAATCATATCCTGTATCATGTCTGCAGTCTCTGAATGTCTCCTGTACCATGACTGCAGTCTATGACCGTCTCCTGTACCATGTCTGCAGTCTCTGAACCGTCTCCACTATTAATATACAGGATTTATATAGCGCCAACAGTTTGCTCAGCGCTTTCCACTATCATCTCTGCAGTCTCTCACCATCTCCTGTATCATGTCTGCAGTCTCTGACCATCTCCTGTAGTATGTCTGCTGTCTCTGACCATCTCCACTATCATGTCTGCAGTCTCTGACCAGCTCCTGTATCATGTCTGCAGTCTCCCACCATCTCCTCTACATGTCTGCAGTCTCTAACCAGTTCCTGTATCATGTCTGCAGTCTCTGACCATGTCCTGTACCAAGTCTGCAGTCTCTGATCATCTCCTGTATCACGTCTGCAGTCTCTGACCATCTCCTGCATCATGTCTGCAGTCTCTAACCATATCCTGTATCATGTCTGCAGTCTCTGAACGTCTCCTGTACCATGTCTGCAGTCTCTGACCATCTCCTGTAGTATGTCTGCAGTCTCTGACCATCTCGACTATTATTATTATTATACAGGATTTATATAGCGCCAACAATTTGCTCAGCGCTTTCCACTATCATCTCTGCAGTCTCTCACCATCTCCTCTATCATGTCTGCAGTCTCTGACCAGCTCCTGTATCATGTCTGCAGTCTCTCACCATCTCCCGTATCATGTCTGTAGTCTCTCACCATCTCTCTACATTTTGAAGTCTCTGACCAGTTCCTGTGTCATGTCTGCAGTCTCTGACCATGTCCTGTACCAAGTCTGCAGTCTCTGACCATCTCCTGTATCATGTCTGCAGTCTCTGACCATCTCCTGTACCATGTTTGCAGTCTCTGACTTTCTCCTGTAGTATGTGTGCAATCTTTTACCATCTCCTGTATCATGTCTGCAGTCTCTGACCATCTCCTGTATCATGTCTGCAGTCTCTGACCATCTTCTGCAGCATGTCTGCAGTCTGTGACTTTCTTGTCACAAGTCTTTGGCAGGTCTCTGACCATCTTTTGTTGCATGCCTGCAGTCTCTACAGCATTCTCTATGTTTACATTCACTGAAAACAATGGGTGGTCCTTTGGTGATGTCAGGAGCCACACTTGAGGCCCCCTATAGCACAAAGTTGACCACCACTGCCTTAGACAAAGTCTCTTCTTACCCTGGGAAATATGGCTGCCAGTGAGCAGATGGTGAGAACCAGGAGAAGGATTTCACCGATGACAAAAGTCACATAGTTGGCCACCAGCCTAAAATAAAAAAAGAAGACAAAATATTTATTGCACAAGCAGAAATTGTACTTTCAGATCAATCTCTGTAGAGTTGTCATCACCCCTGGTGTCATCATACTGATTGCTACACTTTTCTTCCAACCTACTGCACCAATCAGCACTGCTGACATCCTGGATCAATGATTCTGGGTGTATTTCTGTAGTTACATGTATCATTTTTTTTTTCTTCACAAACAAAATGAAAACAAAAATAGATGTATATATATTTAACATTTATATATAGTTTTTAATACTAAAATTTATGCAAACAGTTACAGTGTCCTCTGCAAACAAGATCCACCTGTTTCTGAATGAAGACTTCAGCAACATGTACAGAACAGAGCATGCTGGGACTGAAGTAGTAAGTAGTAGTAAGCAGTCCATCTGTTAAAAACTGATATTTCATAAATAGGATATTGAATATTCCAATAGTGCGGACTCTCTCTACCATAAGTTGTCATCTTGTCACAGCAGGTGTGCAAACTAAGCAACTTACTGTAGGGCTCATAATCTGCAGGTGTAGGTGGTGGGTGCCCCTCATAATGGACACAGCAGGTCTGCAGACCTGGGAACTCAGAACAGGGATGATGGGAACCCCTAATAATGGGCAAAGCAGCTGTGCAGACCCAGCAGTTCATAACAGGGATGATGGGAACCCTCATAATGGGCACAGCAGTTGTGCAGACCCAGCAGTTAAGCACTGGGATGATGGGAACCCTCATAATGGGCACAGCAGTTGTGCAGATCCAGCAGCTAAGCAGTGGGAACCCTCATAAAGGGCACAGCAGGTGAGCAGACCCAGCAGCTCAGTACAGGGATAGTGGGAACCCTCATAATGGGCACAGCAGTTGTGTAGACCCAGCAGCTCAGAACAGGGATGATGGGAACCCTCATATGGGCACAGCAGTTGTGCAGACCCAGCAGCTCAGAACAGGGATGATGGGAACCCTCATAATGGGCACAGTAGTTGTGCAGACCAGCAGCTCAGCACAGGGATAGTGGGAACCCTCATAATGGGCACAGCAGTTGAGCAGACACAGCAGCTCAGCACAGGGATAGTGGGAACCCTCATAAAGGGCACAGCAGGTGAGCAGACCCGGGAGCTCAGCTCAGGGATAGTGGGAACCCTCATAAAGGGCACATCAGGTGAGCAGACCCGGGGAGCTCATCTCAGGGATGGTGGTTACCCTTCCTAATGAGCACAACAGGAGTGCAGACTAGGAAACTCAGTACAGGGATAGTGGGAACCCCTCATAATGGGCACAGCAGGTGCGCAAACAGTAACTCAGTGCAGGCATGGTGGAAAACAGGTGTGCAGACCCAGGAACCCATTGCGGAGATCTCACCAATACAGTCCCCATGAGAGGTGATACTGTCAAGGGGCTTAACTCTCCAGCATCGACCTAACCTTGAAATACCAGTGGAATGACCCCTGAAATCACCTCCACAGACTTACATGGGATCGATCAACATCTGAACAACAGCAGTAAAGAACAGAACCACGCAGGAACAGCTGAAGGCAGCCCCGCTCTGTTTCTCCTTCTCCACCGAGAAACGAGTCTCCATTTCCGGGTTGATGAACCTCATGGACAGGCGGTAGGTGTACTTCCCTTTCAAGCTGCAGACAAGAGAGACATCAAATCCCCATCAAGTCTTGAATATCACATCTATCAGGAATGTTCCTGGAGTGCTTAGTAAAAATACTCATCTAGGTTGGTGATTGGTATAAAATGATTATTAATTATGGACATCAAATACAACCAATATATTTCAGGAGGAAAAGCTTGGCTTTCTTAAATGGTTGAAATTTAAGCTGGGAACGTTTTTCAAAAAGGTCTGTTTTAGGGCAAAATTGTCACCATATCCTCCATACGGAGGTGGCTGTGGCCATCTGATGAAGATCAGCCCCACAATGTATTCGTGACATCTCTCCACCCATTTCATACTGCTTTGAGGTTCTGATTTAGGAACACTGGTTCAAGGACTAGAAGGTCCACTTTACGTATCTAGACAACACACAATCTCCAAGTGAGGCCTTCTTGGATGAAGGTTTAGGCATGGTCTGGTTTACCAAGCAATGTATCAGATAAAGGGCGCCTAGGTGTGCCACGTCACTTAGGGAACTGCAATGGGTGCAAAGTCCAGCCTAGCCTATAATACAAGCCCATAACTCACACTTGCACGGTCTCTCTCTCCAGGAGGGCCTCATTCAGCAGCTTGTTCAGTTCTTGCTCGTTCTGTTGGGCGTCAATGACTCTCTCAGCCAGGTCTCGGAGACGGAGGCGTCTGCGGGGGTTGGGGAAGGATGGGTTCACCACCTGTGAACGGTACGACAGCACACATTGGATAGCTGTGCTAGTAAAGCAGAACTCTCTGTGCACAGGGGCGGACTGACAACTCATGGGGCCCCCGGGCAATAGGGGATCATGGGGCCCCTGTGTCCTTGCCCACACTCAAAGCACACCCAAAAAAGCCTATAAAAAAGGTACCAGGGGCATTTCATGGGGCCCCCTACTGGCCCCGGGCCCTCGGGCAGTGCCTGAGTTTCCAAATGGTCAGTCCGTCCCGTCTGTGCAATACATAAAAAATGAAGCGTATTCATCAAAATTATTACCTTCTTTGATTCTTAACTGTAAGGGTAGTGAGATTGTGGACACTTTTTACTGTTTTAGTATATATATTGTGGATTCTTTACTGTAAGAGTGACATATTATGGATTATTCTCTCTCTGTGCAATACTTAAGAATCAAAGGAGGCAATAAACTTATGATGAATATGCTTTTATTTTAAGTATTGCACAGAGAGAGAATAATCCATAATATGTCACTCTTACAGTAAAGAATCCACAATATATATACTAAAACAGTAAAAAAAAAAGTGTCCACAATCTCACTACCCTTACAGTTAAGAATCAACAAGAATCAAAGGCAATAATTATGATGAATATGCTTTTATTTTAACTGTAAGGGTAGTGAGATTGTTTTGTTTTACTGTTTTTAGTATATATAATTGTGGATTCTTTACTGTAAGAGTGATATATATTATGGATTATTCTCTCTCTGTGCAATACTTAAAAATAAAAAGCATATTGCCTTCTTTGATTCTTAACTGTAAAGGGTAGTGAGATTGTGGACACTTTTTTTTTTACTGTTTTAGTATATATATTGTGGATTCTTTACTGTAAGAGTGACCTATTTATGGATTATTCTCTCTCTGTGCAATACAATAAAATGAAAGCGTATTCATCATAATTATTGCCTTCTTTGATTCTTAACTGTAAGGGTAGTGAGATTGTGAACACCTTTTTTTTACTGTTTTAGTATATATATTGTGGATTCTTTACTGTAAGAGTGACACATTAAGAATTATTTTATATAAGACTAGGCATACTGTGAACTATTTACTGTAAAAGTGAAATTTTGTGATTTACTGTAAGAGTGACTCATTGTGGATTCTTTTATATAAGAGTAGACACATTGAGGACTCTTTACTGTAAAAAGTGACATTTTGAGGATTCTTTACTGTAAGAGTGACATTTTGTGTTTTTCTTATTCTATAAGAGTAGGTGTATTGTGGATTCTTTACTGCAAGAGTGACATATTATGGATTATTCTCTCTCTGTGCAATACATAAAATGAAAGCGTATTCATCATAATTATTGCCTTCTTTGATTCTTAACTGTAAGGGCAGTGAGATTGTGGACACTTTTTTTTTTACTGTTTTAGTAGTATATATATGTGGATTCTTTACTGTAAGAGTGACATATTTATGGATTATTCTCTCTCTGTGCAATACTTAAGAATCAAAGGAGGCAATAATTATGATGAATATGCTTTTATTTTAAGTATTGCACAGAGAGAGAATAATCCATAATAGGTCACTCTTACAGTATAAAGAATCCACAATATATATACTAAAAACAGTAAAAAAGTGTCCACAATCTCACTACCCTTACAGTTAAGAATCAAAGAAGGTAATAATTTTGATGAATACGCTTTCATTTTATGTATTGCACAGAGAGAGAATAATCCATAATAGGTCACTCTTACAGTAAAGAATCCACAATATATATACTAAAACAGTAAAAAAATAAGTGTCCACAATCTCACTACCCTTACAGTTAAGAATCAAAGAAGGCAATAATTATGATGAATATGCTTTTATTTTAACTGTAAGGGTAGTGAGATTGTTTTGTTTTTACTGTTTTAGTATATATATTGTGGATTCTTTACTGTAAGAGTGATATATTATGGATTATTCTCTCTCTGTGCAATACTTAAAATAAAAGCATATTGCCTTTCTTTGATTCTTAAACTGTAAGGGTAGTGAGATTGTGGACACTTTTTTTTTTTACTGTTTTTAGTATATATATTGTGGATTCTTTACTGTAAGAGTGACCTTTTATGGATTATTCTCTCTCTGTGCAATACATAAAATGAAAGCGTATTCATCATAATTATTGCCTTCTTTATTGCTCAGTGATTTGATTCTTAACTGTAAGGGTAGTGAGATTGTGGACACTTTTTTTTTTACTGTTTTAGTATATATATTGTGGATTCTTTACTGTAAGAGTGACCTATTATGGATTATTCTCTCTCTGTGCAATACATAAAATGAAAGCGTATTTCATCATAATTATTGCCTTCTTTGATTCTTAACTGTAAGGGTAGTGAGATTGTGAACACCTTTTTCTGTTTTAGTATATATATTGTGGATTCTTTACTGTAAGAGTGACACATTAAGAATTATTTTATATAAGACTAGGCATACTGTGAACTATTTACTGTAAAAGTGAAATTTTTGTGATTTACTGTAAGAGTGACTCATTGTGGATTCTTTTATATAAGAGTAGACACATTGAGGACTCTTTACTGTAAAAGTGACATTTTGAGGATTCTTTACTGTAAGAGTGACATTTTGTGTTTTCTTATTCTATAAGAGTAGGTGTATTGTGGATTCTTTACTGCAAGAGTGACATATTATGGATTATTCTCTCTCTGTGCAATACATAAAATGAAAGCGTATTCATCATAATTATTGCCTTCTTTGATTCTTAACTGTAAGGGCAGTGAGATTGTGGACACTTTTTTTTACTGTTTTAGTATATATATTGTGGATTCTTTACTGTAAGAGTGACATATTATGGATTATTCTCTCTCTGTGCAATACTTAAGAATCAAAGGAGGCAATAATTATGATGAATATGCTTTTATTTTAAGTATTGCACAGAGAGAGAATAATCCATAATAGGTCACTCTTACAGTAAAGAATCCACAATATATATACTAAAACAGTAAAAAGTGTCCACAATCTCACTACCCTTACAGTTAAGAATCAAAGAAGGCAATAATTATGATGAATATGCTTTTATTTTAACTGTAAGGGTAGTGAGATTGTGGACACTTTTTTTTTAATGTTTTAGTATATATATTGTGGATTCTTTACTGTAAGAGTGACCTATTATGGATTATTCTCTCTCTCTGTGCAATACATAAAATGAAAGCATATTCATCATAATTATTGCCTTCTTTGATTCTTAACTGTAAGGGTAGTCGTGAGGGATTATGGACACTTTTTTTTTTTACTGTTTTTTAGTATATATATTGTGGATTCTTTACTGTAAGAGTGACCTATTATGGATTATTCTCTCTCTGTGCAATACATAAAATGAAAGCGTATTCATCATAATTATTGCCCTTCTTTGATTCTTAACTGTAAGGGTAGTGAGATTGTGGACACTTTTTTTTTTTACTGTTTTAGTATATATATTGTGGATTCTTTACTGTAAGTGACCTATTATGGATTATTCTCTCTCTGTGCAATACATAAAATGAAAGCGTATTCATCATAATTATTGCCTTCTTTGATTCTTAACTGTAAGGGTAGTGAGATTGTGGACACTTTTTTTTTACTGTTTTAGTATATATATTTGTGGATTCTTTACTGTATGAGTGACCTATTATGGATTATTCTCTCTCTGTGCAATACATAAAATGAAAGCGTTATTCATCATAATTATTGCCTTCTTTGATTCTTAACTGTAAGGGTAGTGAGATTGTGGACTTTTTTTTTACTGTTTTAGTATATATATTGTGGATTCTTTACTGTAAGAGTGACCTATTATGGATTATTCTCTCTCTGTGCAATACATAAAATGAAAGCGTATTCATCATAATTATTGCCTTCTTTGATTCTTAACTGTAAGGGTAGTGAGATTGTGGACACTTTTTTTTTACTGTTTTAGTATATATATTATTGGATGGATTCTTTACTGTAAGAGTGACCTACTTATGGATTATTCTCTCTCTGTGCAATACATAAAATGAAAGCGTATTCATAATAATTATTGCCTTCTTTGATTCTTAACTGTAAGGGTAGTGAGATTGTGGACACTTTTTTCTGTTTTAGTATATATATTGTGGATTTGTTACTGTAAGAGTGACACATTAAGAATTATTTTATATAAGACTAGGCATACTGTGAACTATTTACTGTAAAAGTGAAATTTTGTGATTTACTGTAAGAGTGACTCATTGTGGATTTTTTTATATAAGAGTAGACACATTGAGGACTCTTTACTGTAAAAGTGACATTTTGAGAGGATTCTTTACTGTAAGAGTGACATTTTGTGTTTTCTTATTCTATAAGAGTAGGTGTATTGTGGATTATTTTACTGCAAGAGTGACATATTATGGATTATTCTCTCTCTGTGCAATACTTAAAATAAAAGCGTATTCATCATAATTATTGCCTTCTTTGATTCTTAACTGTAAGGGTAGTGAGATTTTTTCTCTGTTTTTAGTACCGGTATATATATTGTGGATTCTTTATTGTAAGAGTGACACATTATGGATTATTTTATATAAAAGTAGGCATAGCAAAGATTCTTTACTGTAAAAGTGAAGTTTTGTGGTTTCTTTACTGTCAGAGTGACATTTTGTGGATTTTTTTCTGTAGGAGTAGGTGTATTGTGGATTCTTTATTGTAAGAGTGACATATTATGGACTATTTTATATAAGAAGTATAAAGCAGATTCTTTACTGTAAAAGTGAAATGTTGTGGTTTCTTTACTATAAGAGCGACTCATTGTGGAATCTTTTATATAAGACTAGGCATATAGCAAATTCTTTACTGTAAATTATACATTTTGTGAATTCTTTAAGAGTGACTCATTAGGGTTTATTTACTAAAGCTGGAGAGTGCAAAATCAGGCTCACAGCATAGAAACCAATCAGCTTCCAGGTTTTATTGCCAAAGCTTAATTGAACAAGCTGAGGTTAGAAGCTGATTGGTTTCTATGCAGAAGAGAGCCTGATTT